CATTAGGACACCATATGAGTAGACTTATCATGAACTCGCAAATTGTGCATGAGGGCATCGTTAGTATGTATCAAAATCAATAACGTGCAAGAATCATATGAGATGGTTGGAACATTTACATGTTAGGGCTAAGATGATCTTATTGAGGAGGTAAGCGGACTCATATAGATTTTCAAGTAAAATGTGAGTGTCGTTGGAAATCATCCTAACATCAAATTGTACATTTTTACTTATTGTTTCTATGTGGTCTTAGTGTTTCCTGTTGTGCCTCTTGTAGTGTGGCAATACTGTTGGATTATGTGTGTAGTAGTTATGTATTCTTAAGTTTACTCACTTTTGTTTTGTTACATGGATTGAATTGGAAATTTGAGCTGTGTTGTTGAGACCATAAGTCACAAATGGTTGACAGGCAAGACAAGCATACCTCATTGGCAACAAGGCTCTAGCAAAGGAACTGAGTTTGAAGGGTCAGTTGTACAACATGCAGATGAAAGCAGCTCATGAAAAAGCTAAAGAAACAATTTACCAGAGAAGGTTGGTCAGTCATCACCCTGTAGTGTACGCCTGTCATTTGGTCCCTAATCTTATCATTTTTTTTTGCCTAATTTTAACAGCAGTAGTAGTTTGTGTTTCTTTTGATATACTAAGTACACTCTTTTAACTGTGTAAACATATGTTTTGTTTTTAAAGGTTATGAAGTAATTAGAGTCACCATTTCTGTTCTGTACTTCAGCCAATAGTTCTGCTGCTGCCACCAAATGAGACTCTCATTCATATAACTAATCGAAGTTGAGAATTTTGAATATCCCAATGTAAATTTACAGCCTTCGTATATGGATAAACAAAAGCATCACTTGGACAACTTTTACCAGAGGAACAATTGAAGTTGACTGAAGTATCTTTCTTCAGTCATCATGCTATTGGAATATATCTGTATCATATTTAGAGCTGTCATTACCTAAAAGTTAACAGAATTGCATTTGTGAAATAAGCATGTCCTTGTAAGGTTTATTTTCTACTGGCCTTCTGGGGCTTCCATGAAGAGCTTAGAGATGTTGGTCAGCTTGTTGAAGTAATATTGTACTCTATAACAAGTTGTGGTTGTGTTTGTGTTTTAGACCACAGATCACATAACAACATTTGTTGGATTTCCTACGTATCTTTCAGGAACCCATCTTCTGAGGTCCTTGGCTGCAGCCGCGGGCAGGATCATCTTATCGATCTGCATGGCCTTCATGTCGGTGAAGCCATACATGTTCTACATCGTGAACTGAGAGCCATGAGGAACACGGCAAGGGCTGCTGGGCAGCAACTGCACGCCCTGATATGCGTCGGGACTGGTCACCACACCAAGGGTTCACGAACACCTGCCAGGCTTCCTGTGGCAATCGAGCAGTACCTGGTGGAGGAAGGCCTTCGCTTCACCCAGCCTCAGCCCGGTCTGCTCCGTGTTGTGATATACTGACACAAAATGAGAAAAAAAAAAAGTATAGAAGAGGGTCGTGAATTTTAGAAAATGAAAAAAAAAAGTGTCTAGCATTGTAACATTAACAATGGTGGCTTTCTGGACACGTTTTGTTAGCCATTCTGTGGAATTATTTGATTCCAGGGGGAATTATTTTTTGTGAGAAGATCATGTTGTTTCTCTAAATATGATTCTCTTACATTTGTGCATATAACACTGCATATGAACGGAATAAATTTATGTCTCACTTTTGTGGATCAGGAAAAAGATTAGGGTGCCATTACAGAAACACTTTCAACTGCATGTTATTTGCAATGTGGTGTGAGCAAAGGTGATGAAAAAAGAAAAAAGAAAATGGTGGCAAACCCTTTTTCTAGTTAGAGGTCAAATCTTTATATTATTATTCTTGAGATTCCAAATCAGTAGTTCAATGCTTGATCTTAACATTTACAACTTACATGTGGGTATTAACTGATTTCGTATCATACAAGTTGTTGACAGCAGATGTTGAAGTTTGTGGTCCTCTTGTACAATGCGTGTGCACAGCAAGATGAGGACAGGAAGAAAAAGAGTTCTTCCAAATTGACTCATCTGAAAGTGATAAGAGGCTGGTTGTAGATTTTGATGTGTGCATGAATCTGCCTGTGACTGCACTGCTTTGAAGTCTTCCGGAGTCGTAGAATTAGCTTTGTTAGGAACCTGAGCATGAACACAGTTGTCCACATGGTTATCAAAAGTGATCTGCTGCTTTCTGAACAAGCACCTGTTGACCAAAAGTGATCATAAGATACCCAATCAAGTTGGCTCACTGTCCTGAATCATTCCAGCATCTGGGAGAATAGTTGCCCCTTTCCATGAGGCAGTTGATGGTTTCATTCATGCTTTGACTTTCTTGCTGAATCTTGATCAGTTGACTTTGTCCCATGCTGCTGCTTAGTAGCTTCATCTGACCACGACATTTTCTTCACATTTGATGTTGAACAATGCGGTCAAAACAGTCGAGCGCTGCGAACCCGAAGATAAGTGATTCGACTTTTATCTCATCAACGTGCAAGAACAATTTAACTGGGAGCTCTTCTTTTGGTGGATGAGCCTCGCAGTTCTTCCAATCCTCTGTTAAAGTTCTTTACGATTCGATGAAATATCTTCTTTTCCCAAGAGCAATTTGCATGCTTTATCATCATTCATCGTTGAGCTCTGTTTCAGATCATATGCAGTATGAAATGCTAGAATATGTGTTCTCCAAGCCTGTGGTACAGGCCATGGCACACCTTCCTACGGAGGATGCAAATGTGGAATTGAGTAGAGATCATTTTTTTTGTGTATAGTGGATCTCATCCCACCCACAGTGGGAGCCATTGTTTTACTCTCTCGAGGTGCATTGGTGCCGTCAACTATCTGTGATCTATCGCAAGGCATCTCTACTTTAGTTTCCTTGCCTGAGGTGTCTCTACCCCCTTCCTCACAAGTCCTCTCATTGCCATTTTATCTGTATCTCGAGAGTTCAACACTAGGGAGAAGCGTTCATGGACCACATGGCAGAGCTGTTCATCTCCTTCACCTAGAAATCATACCTTGCTTCCATCAACATCTTCGCCCCCCTCTCTCTCTCTCTCTCTCTCTCTCCTGTTTCTATTATGAAGAGTTGCAACTTGTTTCCTCTGCTATTTCCTTTGCGTTGAATCTGTTCAAGAGTCAATCTTCTGTAGCAGGGCAAAACCCCAGCGATCACCACCATTGCAAGCAATTATCATATGGGGAAAGTGGTGGCTCAAGCTTCTCCTTTGACCTGCAGCGTGCTTAATGTATGACATCGAGGGTTGTGGACGTACGTGGAAGAATGGAGAACGACACAGTGCAGGATAGTTTAGTGGCAGTAGCATCATGGTGAGCGACGAGGAGACGACATAGGGGAACGAACGCAGAGGTCCATCTGATCTCGGGGACTGTTTCCAGGGGATGGGTTAAGTCCACGGAGATCTGGATTTGGAGCTGCGTGATGTGGTGCGAATGATGGTTTGAGTGGGTCAACTCCGTTCGACACACGCGTCGGTCCGACAAGCACAAGATCCTGCCATCGCCACCTTGTCGTGACACTTGCTCTGTGCACTCTGGGAGAAGGAGAAAGAAGGCTTTGGTGGCGCCGCTCACTCCCAGCTGGAATGCTGGAACCGATGAGGCTTTGGGATCTGTGACTTGCCTGCGATCTTCTTATCTCCCACTTCCTTCTTTGATTTCATCTGCACTGCGATCAGATGATTGATTCTTCTGCTGCTGCAAAGCAAAGAAGAAGAAGAAGAAGAAGTAGAAAGGTGGTGTTCTCAGTTACCCACAACCAATCTTTGACTGCAAGTCTCATGGGTTTGGAATTATCTGATATATATATAAAGATGTCAAATTTGCATGTGTGGATCACAACTTGCCCATTGTTCTTTCTTTCTGATGCAAAAAGCACTTGAGATGAACTCATTCATTGAAGTGGAATTGGAATTGGTAAAGCTTAAACCTAACATGGATTCTCAAGATCAACTGTGAAGAAGATTCAATGGTGTGCATGCACAAAGAAAGCTCATAACCTTCATGTGAGAGATTAAACTTTGTCACACATCTTTCAATGCAGCATAAATAAACAAATTCAATTCATGGCATTGAGATTTGAAAAGACATACTTAAAAAAATAAAAATATCCTGAAACTTGAAAGATGGGAAGAACAGTGGTTTATATTTAACTCATTATATTTGAGATGCAATGAGATCCATATGAATGAAGTCAGGTATGGAAGCTTGAATTGATATGAGAGCTGAGATGAAATAAATTGAATTGCATGGTACAAATTTGCATTGTCTATACTGTCTCTCTCACCATCCCCTTCATTTGGCATGCATTGTTGCATTGATATGCTAAATGTGCTGTGTGTTGGACTGAAACGTATCCCAAGCTGACCTGATGGCCACTGTTACCTGTGCCATGGCATCTCATTCGTAGCCCCAACAGTAGAAGGAATCCAACTGCTTGCCTTATTATGGCTGCAAGATGATGTTGTTAGCTTTCCGAGCACAAGCACGCTTCCATGTCCCTACGCCGCTGTAGGGTGGCTGGGTTCTACCCCTCGCCACCTCTGTGCAGTGCCAGTTGCCGTACGATGTGATGGGAGGCAGCAAAGCTGCTCCTGAAAGCTCAGATGTGCAATGCCCCCAAGCTCTTTCGAGAGGGATTGCTTCTTTGGCCATCAAGATCTGATCCCAACCCTTCTCTCTTCAAGGACAGAACCATGTGCTCGCCGAAATGTATGCAACCGCACAAGGCTTCTGTCAGCAAACTCGGCACGGAAAAGCGAACCTTGCATTCGTCTCATGATCGTAATCCATGCATGGGGAGCGCTCACTGCTCAGTCGAGAGAGGATATTTGTGGAGCGTAGAGGCTGAGAAGGGTTGGTGAATCGTCAGCAGTGACCTTAGACCGATACAATATGGCCATGGCATTCTGTAGCACTTTGCTCACCGTCTATATAACCCCTCCATCGATCCCATTTGCTGAAGGAAGTTCCAGGTAGTCGCTTGGCTTCTCTCTCTGTCTCTTCCAAGTGCTCTCTGTAGTGCAGAAAGGAATGAGAAGATTGTAGACACTCTCAGCAAGCAAGCAAGCTCTCTCTCTCTCTCTCTCTCTCTCTCTCTCTCTGCCTCTTTGTTAGGATCTGAAACATGAGGGTAAGGAATAAAGCCTCTTCTCTCTCGTTCTCTATCTCTCATTGTCATCAACATTTTGACGGAGTTTGTGGCTTGTGTTGGCTTTAGATCTTGAGTTGGGTGCAAAACAAGTTCAATGGGAGACCAGAGAAGAAGTGTTCTGCTTCTCGTGAGTGAGCTTCCCATTCTTGCTTTGATCTGTGTCATCTATCTTCCGTCTGGCATCGTGTAGAATGATCTGCTGATTGATACACTATTCATCAGGTGCTTCAGCTCCTAGAAATGAACACAGCGAGTGGCCGCAGGCCCTGTTGGCAATCGGAACATTCGGCATCAACGACATGAAACAAGATCCACAAATCGCAGAAAACTTGGATGCTTCAGAAGACTTGCTTGATTTCACGGCAGAAGAAGTGAACACACTGCAGAAAGAGCTAGCAAAGCTGCTGAGCCGAAAGCCAAAGTGTAGCACCAGCGGATCCGAGATCGCCGAAGAAGAAGAAGAAGAAGAAGGTAGAGCTAATCTGCCACTGAACAGGTTTCTCAATTGCCCGTCGAGCTTGGAGGTCGACAGGACCACCAGCTTGAAGCTCGACAACAATGGCGATCTCTCCCCCTACACCAAGATCATACTGAGCAAAGTGAAGGATGCATTACAGGGCAACCGCAATGCCATCAGGAAGAAATCACTCTCATTTCTTCTGAAGAAGATATGTGTCTGTGGGAGTGGCTTCGAGTCACCTCCAAGCTTCAGAGACCCCATTCCTGAGCCAAGGATCGAGAAGGTATGTCAAATTCTTGTTTGTTTTCTTCCTCGTGGAGATTTGTCATCTACGTGAAGCCTTCATGCGAACCTTGGATGACAGATTCTCAAGGCAATTCTTACCAAGAAGAGCTCTGCTCCAACATCAATGAGAAGCTACTTGGAGAGCAAACCCAACGAGAAGTTGCAGGCATCAAAGGTGGAGGAGGACGACCGTAGGAAAAATCAGTGTAGATGGGTTAAGACAGATTCCGAGTGTAAGACGATCAATTCTTGCATTACAATGGTAATACCATGTTTTGATGGCCACTGATGTGAAACTGTTCTTGCTTGCAGATATCGTTCTAGAGATCTAGAAACCAATATGGCATTGAGTGTCAGTATGATCGAAGGCAGCTCTCTCTCTCTCTCTGATAGTGTTGATGTTTATGAAGAGGCCACTGAAGGTATGCCAATTGCTTGGGAGTCCCAGACTGACCGTGGAGCAGAGAAGCGAACCAGAAGGGTTTTAGCAGAGGAGAAACACTGCATTTTTGCTGTGAATTTATGCTTTTGAGTGTTAATAGTAAAAGAAAAAGGAAATTGTCATGCAGATGTTATAAAGCATTTTGATGAATGGCTCAATCATCTTTCTCTTGTGCACATGTAATTTGAGATGCAATCATTCTTGAGCTTGTCAGCTGTGCTTGCCCCTGAGATATTGTCAGCAATTGTGATCTTCTCAGACAGTGGAGTGGAGAGCTGTGGAAGAAATCTATCTGCACCCACGCAAACTTTGACGACCCATTTTTGTTATTTATAATTCTAATATTCTTATGTTATTTATTTGTAAATAGATATATATATGTTGTCAATTTATAACTTAATTTTTTTTCCTTCTTCATTAATCCGTGAAGGAAATGCCTCTAAATACAATTTAGAGCTCTTTTAGACGAGTCTTCTGTGTTCTGATCTAACAAATCACACATTAAGGTAATAAAATTGGAATCAAATGTGGGGCTCACAACTGTCGACAAATCGGAGGGCTTCGCCCGGTGTTTCGTCTCTCGGCACGATAAGGTGAGGCGTCGGTGCGTCTAGCACACGTGGCGCTTACGACGCTTCTGCTACGTGAGCTGCTGCTGCGTCTCCGTCATCGAATCCCTCCGCCAGCTCCCCGTTCATCGGTGAAGTCATCCGACGACGCACGTCGTGTCTGAATGCAATCTCAGCCGTTCATCTGAAGATATATTTCTTCGTCGTCATGCGCCAAACCAACTCTTTTTCCGATTCGTTGGATACGTGAAAAAGGCGTCGCCATTCCGGACAGGGTTTTCGGAGTCGGGCCGGAGGTGATGGCTGCTGCCGCTGGTGTGTCGGGCTTGACGATGCTAGGGTTGCAAAAGGATATGGGGAGATCGTGAGATGTGGGGTGGTGAGGCAAAGGGGAATTCGGGGGGCAATGTCGTGGTCGGAACAGGAAGGTGTCTTGCTCTCCACCTCTCTTGCGAGCTACCCTGACGGTAAGCTTCGGCCAGTTAATCTGAATGGTTGCAAATATTTACATGGTGTTGTTGGATAAATTTTCTGTAATGAATACGCGGAAAATCTAGATTTTCTATCAGCTCTTAAATATGAGCATTCTTTAGGTCGAAAGTTCCGATTTTGTTGTCTTTTCTTGCATTAACTTTGTTTTCTCTCAAGCGATCTTGTTACTTCACTTTGATTGGTTAGAGTCGGAACCTGTTATGGATTATAAATATCCTATTTAGGGACATTTTTTCTTTGATTCATATGATTATGGTTTTCTTTTAATGAGGATGTGAATACCATATGGCCCGTAATGTATTTCTTTGATTTCTGCAATATTTGTTGTGTAAATCTGGTCAGTAAGCGCAAGCTTCACCCCATTCTTGTTTAACTGGCAGGATTTGTGGTGTTCAGATTCAGATGGAACTGCAAAGAATATTCTACCACTCAGTTTTAGCACACATAGTGGTAAGGCTCTGCAGCATTCATTCAAGGGTGAATTTTGGTTATGTGGTCAACTTTAGGTGTCTGAGGAATGGTGAGATATTGAGTTGGCAACTATTAGGAGAGTTAGCTGTTTTTTTGTAAAAGGGATCCCTGCAAGAAATTGTGGCTATATGGCTTTATTCATTTATATACTTAAATTGCAACTCACCAGTATCATATTAGTTGAATTAAACATTTAGTGCTTAAGTATTAAGGTAGTGACCGAAGTATATATGACCTTTGCAGATGAGAAATATATATCACATTACTTGTATATGTTAGTTCCTTTTTATCTTTCTCCTCACTTCTTGTATACCAATTCCAACCGATATGATAGTCAAACTCTGATCAAATGCAACTTTGTTTCCATGACCCATGTAATGCTACAGCTTATAGCTTCACTTGGCAGTGATTGATGGTAAAAACATTCTCTCTGTGGGGTTAGTCTTAAATGCATGGAAGTATTTATTCTTGCCCTGATTCTCAACTGCAAGAACACATGAATTCCAAAGATCACTTCAAAATCTTGATACATTTTCCACGGCATTCTTGGTTTTTTGAAGTGCCTACTTCACTTGCAGATATGATTTTCACAATTTTTTTAGCAGGAATCGTTTAATATCAAAAACTCATTATGCAAAATCCCTTTTTTGGGAGGAAGTTGAAGGAGTGGACATTATTAGTGGAGAGGAAGCAATAAATTAGGGTTTATCATGACCAATGTTACGAGCTTGTGGAAGACTATTGGATCTTTGTAAAATTGATACAATAGTGTTACAATGGATACGATTGGGAAGTCCAGTGACAAAAGAAGATTCATTATATCATTATTTAGTTTGAATGGGTGAAATGAGGGAATATATTCTGTATTCCATCTTATTGACGATCATGTCATGTAATTCATTTTGACTAAGAGGAACCGATTCATCATGCAGCGTAGGAGATATGTACTGTCATATTCTACTTGGTTTCTGATCCATGGGGAGAATGTCGTCTTTATAAACGAACTAGTATCATTTTCTCTTTTGATACTTACCTGACTGTTAATATTGTTGGATACTTGATTCCATTTGGTTTGATGTATACTGCTTAAACTCCTATGTGTTTCAGTTGCAGAGATTAGAAGTGCGGGTACCATCGCCTAGTTAACACAACCTCGTAGTCGGATACTCTTGTACTCTTATACATGCTTCTAGAGGCATCGATATATTTTCATAAGTGCTTTTTCCTAGATTCCTCTGCACTAATTATCATTTAAACTAAACGTGCACATTTTTCTTACATGCCTTTGTATTCTTCATATCGGCTTGCTTTAACCTTGTAATTTCATGTGTTGCCACCCTCATGCAATTTGTAGTCAGGTCTACTTGGCTTGCTTGTTCTTGCTCATTCTTTGTTATTCTGGGCTTGCTCGACATAATGCGTCAGTAAAGTCGGTGCAGAGCATCTCTTGCGACTTCTTTTCATGGCACATTTCCAGCTCATACGATGAAGATAACTGGGATACATTTGGCTAGTATTTCATACTCGTTATACATGTTGAAAATGGAAGTAGCATCATTTGCAAAGAAAAATCTACCTCAAGTATTTCTTTTTCTTCCAATGACAACATTGTTGTGTACTCCTGACAGGCTCAAAAAACTGGAAGCGATGCCACAGATCTGAAACGCTCCATGAGACAGAGAATGAGGTTTCTTGTTGCAGTTTGCTTCGGATCAGCCAAGTAAAGAGAGTCCCTTTTCTTCATTCCTTCTGATAAAATTGAAATATTGGTTTGCAGAATTATTATCATGACTCATCGAAAACCTGAAGATTTTATATGCTTCTTCTTCTCTTTGCTGCTTGACATCTTATAATTTTGCAACTCATGGATTGAAATAAGTTTAGCAATCGAAAATAGATAAATAGTGTAAATAATTTCTTCCAATTCAACTACATATATCATCTTTATACTTGTCGGCTCATGCTATCATCTGATTCCGTGCTCATTGTCAAACAGGAAGAGAACGGAGTCCTCGTGAATGATCAACACAACGCTAACATGGAGAAGGATGCTTTCGGTGACATCTCGAATCTTTGATCCAAGAAATCTCATGTTTTAGCCGACATTAAGAAGAAGGTGTAGTCTTATTATCACATTTACTATACAGACAATATTTCAACTCTTTGTTTTATTTTATGTTGAGCTATGAAATAAATCGTATGCACAATTTTTAATTCAAACGTGATTCCAACATCTCTCTGCTAAGCCGCCACGATTGATGATCCGTGGCGCGACACGATTGACGTCCTCCATTTGTCGTCGCCGTCCCAAATCCCCCAACATTTTCCACGTTTTGTTTGCCAGAACCAAACCCCAACATTGAACAGGTCAACCCCATTAGTCAAAGCACATGCATTAGAAAAAGAAGAGAGCACAGGTAATCTTCTTGGACTCGGTCCACCCACCCTCGTCCACTCCGTCCTAAGGGAAAAAATATGTATTAGTTGAATCCTTAATTTATGTTAGTATTTAGATAATTTCCGTATATTTATTTTGAATTACGTGATAAATATGTTTGTGTTGTAAATTATTTCCTCACCTGCGTTTTGTTTTATCGTCACGTGTTCTATAACAATCCTATACATAGACGACGAGACATAAGGCGATCGGGGAGGCAAGAGAAGCGCTGTCGAGAACCGGTGGCTCGAGCGGAAGAGAGGTGGAGACGAGATCGGTGCATTGGAGCTTGTTCTCGGGAGGCGAAGCGAAGCTTTTTGGATCGAGCCATCCGATAGCCGGTGAGTGGGAAAGAGACGATGGAGATGGCGGCGCGGAAGCAGGGGAAGACCAACTTCGCCGTCACCTGTAGCCTCCTCAGCCGTTACATCAAGGAGAAGGGGAGCGTCGCCGAGTTAGGGATCGAGATGGGCCAACGACCCGAATACGCCGCCAAAGGTGAGAGCTTGATGGGGTTTCGACGCGAAAGTTGTTTGGATTTCGAATGTTTGGGGACTGGATGAACTAGTTCGTCTTGGTTTTCTTGAATCATCTCCGAAACCTTGGTTTTCGGGAGATATATTCCAAAAGATCGGAGCTTTCTTTTCTTTAGGGATCCAGATTGCAAGCCACCGTTCGACTGACTCGCTTCGGTCCATCTTTTAGGCAAATCGCAAGCGTTTCGGCCGCCGCCGACCACCATGAGCCTGTTGCCGGGAGCGGACGGCGAGAAGGAGGAAGACGTTTCCTCCGCCGGAAACGCCATGGAGCTGTTTCCACAGCGGGCTGGCTTCGTCCCCTCTCTCGCGGCTGTGGCCGAAGATGCCAGGTACCAACTCTTCATCCAAACAACTCAAATTATCCTTCAATTTTCGAAGAAAAATCTAATCTTTTCCCATATGCATATAAATCTTAGAAATGCTATGGTTTTAGATGATAGAGTACAATGGTTTGATCCATGTTTCTGTTCGTTGTCCGTTATTTCATCCCATGCTCTTAACTAAACTTGGTGCTCGTCTGTAATGAGAATGTTGAGGGTGTTCTGATTGTTTATATGGCTGCTTGTACTGCAGTAAACAAGAAAGGAACCAACTCACAATCTTCTATGGAGGGAAGGTGATGGTGTTCGACAATTTTCCAGCTAAGAAAGCCAAGGATCTGTTGCAGCTAGCAAGCAAGGGGAGCTCAACTGCACAGAAATCTGGCCATCTATCAAGAACAGTACAGCCTAATCTATCTTGTAATGAATCTCTCCTTGTTAAATTGAGATTGGATAATAGCTTTGCAAATCTACAAGTCACTAATGTTGTTGTTTGGTTGAACTGCAGACCTTCCTATCGCTCGAAATGCGTCGCTCCAGCGATTCCTCGAGAAGAGAAAAGATCGGTAGGTAACCCTTGCTTCATGATTTGCTGAGCGAAGCAAACATGTTGCTGAATGTTTCTTGATTAATTGCTGTTGCAGTGTCGTGTCCGTAAGTCTAACCAGTTAACCTCTGAAAAAAATTTCAGGATCAGTGCGAGAGCACCATATCACGTTACTGCCTCTCCTGAAATGGTGAATCCTGTGAAGCAAGAGAAGAGCGGATCATGGCTTGGCTTGGGTCCTCAATTCTCATTTCCCAGCCTCAGTCTGAGCTCTGAGGACACCAGATAGGATCACCCGTAAGGCTCAGGAATCTCAGATGATGTCAAGTCTTGATTACTTCTTTTTCTAGAATACTTCTTCGTGGTACTGTAAAAAATGTGTTCGATGTCACCGATGACTTAGGTTTCAGATTCTTCCTTGTTAACAGACTGTGTCTCATACTGTTGCCTTATAGGAATCAAAGGAACATACATGTACCTATTATCATGATAAATTCAATACAAATTTTGTTTGCAGAATTGGTGTTCTTTGCTGCTCATGGTGTTCTTCTCTTATGCTGTCTGAAATAATTGTGATTCTGTTGCTATCTTCCCCATATGCTGTTGATTGTTATAGATTCTCTGAAGTAAGAAAAAGAAATTCTATTCAAACGTATATCGGTTTCATTATTGGTTTGACAAAGTTGGAAGAGAACCAATTGCCACTAGTCTTCCTAATTTTGATTCTTTGTCACTCATTAACAGCTCTAGATAAAATGGAGGCCTAGGTATATTTCTTTGCAGGTTAAAAGGAAAAGAAATATAGCTGTATCTTGAATGAGGAATTTCATATTGTTATCCATCTAGAAGTTGATTAATCTTCTTTGAAGAAAGTAACTCTAATTTTCTTCATCTTCTGTGCAAAGTGACCGATATTACCTATTCTAATCAAAGGCCTGTCTACCAAGAATTAATTTTTACTGAGACCTAACTTTCACTTTAGTCACTGAAGATGATCATTCAAACTAAAGTATTTAGTCAGCCTCCTTGGAGTTCAAAACTACAAAAGAGCATGTGTTTGATGAGGATTTGATTATACCAAACAAGTCATGCCTTCTTACGGACGCTAGAACTGACTGGTAATTGAAGACCTCAAGGATTTGGAATTCCCTTCACTTGAAGGAAACAAATGGAACAGTAATAGTGTTGGGAGGGCAAATATTTCCATGTGAAGGTATCATGGAGAACGAAGTTGACTTCAACTTTGTTTTGTATATGCCAACTTGTAGTAGAGCACAAGGCGGTTGATGGTGGGGATTGGTTGGTAAAAGACAACTTCTTGTGTGGAAATAGGAGGAAAAAGAAACCTTCAGATTCATTGGAACCATTCCTTCTCTTTGAATGATTACTATGTTCATAAGAAACTTGTCCTTAATTCAAAGGGTTGATCACAGGACAACCAGGGTCAAGATTAGTTGGCTGGTGAATCCTTACCAAATCTTTTGATTCAAGTAATATATTCGACAAGTAGCCACTTGTTGTTGTCAATAATTCTCAATGATTAGCCCAGTTGCTAAACAATTAGGAGAGCTTTAAAGTAAGATTCTAAAAGATTTATGCTAAGATCTTTAGTTAACTGTGGTGGTCCTTGTGCCATGAACTTGCTTTGTTGATCACATTAGGTTAATTTATGGCCTTTTAGGTAGAAAATGTGAGAGTGAGATACAAAGTCACTATGAATCATGGAATTTTGATAAGTTTCACATGGTTGCCATCATTTGGAATACAAGGAGGAAATCTCTTCTAAATCTTTAACATCAAGGCACATGTCATGTAAAGGTTTTATTAAGTGTGAGAAACAAAAGGATCATGTGTAGCTGGAGGAGTCAAAAGTAGTAGATAGTCATATAGGGGAGGGGAGGAAATGGAATTGGTGATCTTCTAATCTAAATTGAGGAAGACAAGCCTATCAACAAACATCACTCCCACTCAAGATATTGCGTTGACTAATAATCCTTGATGATGGCAACTTGTTTTCCCATTCGATACTGCAAAATAACCATTTGTTCTTAAGCTGCGTTATCCCATATATCATGTACTAAATCTTTACCTGCTTCTGTTTCAAGTGATACCCACATATGTTTGATCATCTACTTTGATTTGCCAAGACAGTGGTTACAACTCCCTGCGAAAGAACAAAAAACAATCACTAGTAAATGCATTTAGCAAACACTAAGAAGATCATCCTCCACAGAATTGTGGATCATCAAATGTGTTCAGTGTCTCATGTCGAGATGAATCTCACTATTGACTTTTGATGAAACTAAAATCCGCTTGATTGTAAAAAATCTTCCTTCGAGATGGTCGGGGATTCGATAACAAAGGTAAATTGCTCCCTTGTTCTAATAAAGATTTGCAGCAAAATCTTAGCAAACTGGTTTTAGTTGAAGGACATAGTAAAAGTGGCAAATGGATCATAAATAGCTGAGGGAGGAGCAGGAGTTTATTTTGTGGAAACCTGGCATAAACTTGTGGGTGGAAATATCCATTTAATGATCATTTTTCAGATTTTGTTTAAAAAAAAAAAAGAGTGGCCAAGAGTGCAATCTTCCAGAAATGTCCAGTATGACTCACTCAATTCCATATATGATGCACTATATGGAAATCGAGTAGTGTGTCCTTGATTGCATTATTCCATATATGATGCACTCAATTCCTATGACTCCAGAGAGTGACTTGATCCTTGAGGTAGATCTCAAGGAAACTGATGCTTATCACTTGCTTTCTTGTACATGATACTTAACCAGATAGAATCCGTACTAACTGCATCCAACCAAACATGATTTACCAGATGTTTAATGCCTCCTCTCTTCCTCATATGCTAAGCTAAGACCAAGTATGGTGAGTGCCAGAAAATTTCAATTGATGCATAAATCCTCAAGCGGGTTATAATACATGAAATTTGTGTTGGTTTGATCTTTGTGTTTTTGTTTTTGGTCTGATAGCAAGGGTGGTATGAGTTTGATGGTCCTTGTTCTTATTGAATCGCCATACTAGAAATCCACCTGGATCCACTTGTTTGAGGTCTGCAGGGTCTCAACAGCATATGTTTACTATATGCTAGGATTCAATAAACTCCACCAAAGGAGCAGCAGTATCATGTTCAACTGAATCTCTGATCAACACAATTTTTTTTTTCTTTTTCCTAAAAATCTTAGAGGTTGTAAACTGATATTCCAGTATACTCTGTGGTCACTACTCCAAACCATGTTTTAAAATTTCAATTCCTGAATCTATACCGTCGGATTGGTATACAGGATAGCGAGACATGGCACATCGGTATACTAGTCAGTATTGAGAAACGAGAAGAAGGAAAAAAAAAGGATAAACAGAACAAGACGACTAAACTAGGCAGGATGAGAAGAGGAGGTAAATAAAATTTCAATTATTGGATCTATACCGTCGGATTGGTATGTAGCGTATCGAGACATGACACGCCGATATAGCAGTCAGTATTGAGAAATGAGAAAAAAGAAATAAAAGGATAAAGAGAACACAAGATGAGAAGAGAAGGCAGAAGAGAAGAAAGAGAAGCACCGGATGGATAGATGGATCCGTCAACGGACGAATATGTGACAACACGAGACAAAATTCATATGGTTTTGTAATGAAATGAAGTATATGGTTGGTTAAAATGGTTGATATCGTCGTCTTAACTAAATAATATCATGTATAATGACTTTTTTTTTATTTTAATTATTTTTACTACCTCAAGTTCTATGCTGTTGTTCACATAATACATAACTATTGCTTTTTTTTTAAATCTCTTATCACTATTTTTAAATGATATTTTTTTGTTCCATTAAATACATACACATGAATTCGAATCTAAGACAGTCTACAAATCATTATGATGTCTCCACATGGACTTTTGCCACTATTTTTCCTTTTATTACTTCTTCTAATATAAAATAAAATATATAATTATTTGATCTATATATGATTCTTGTGGAACTTACTATGTAGTCTCATATTTGTTTCTGCGTGCTAAAAGATTGCCATCTGTTGTGTGTTGCTGCTGAGAAGGGAGAAGCAGTACTGTAATCTGGTGCTTCATTTAGTGTAACGTGAAAAGCACGTGTCGTCAACCAAGGAGTCAATATAGAGGACACGTGACGTCGTGGTTTACTCTTTCTCTCTCTCTCTCTCTCTCGGGGTCGCGAGGGTTTGCTTCTTCGTCGTCCCCCTTTTCTTTCTCGGTAAACCCTACTGCTACACCCCACGATACTGTCGAACTCGGATCGGGGTGGTGTCGGAGGACGACCCTAGGACGAGGAACGATGCAGCAGCAGAGGCTCAAGCAGCAGCAGCAGCAGGCTCTGATGCAGCAGGCCCTCCTCCTCCAGCAGCAGCAGCAGCAGCAGGCCCTCTACCCCCACCCTGGGCTCCTGGCCGCTCCTCAGGTTCCCACCCCCACTCCCGTCGCCTTCGCATCCCTATTCGTGTCGATCGGATAAAAAAATTTCGTCTTTTGTTGTGGTTTCGCAGTTTCTGTCCCTCGATTAAAGATTGTTTGTTGCGAGCGTTTCGTACTGTTTTTGATTTAGGGTTTCGTTGAGTTGGATCGCGAAATTAGGCTTTCCTTTTAGTTGGATGACCAAATCGTGGTTTTTCGTAGTCCCGTTACGGGCATGTGGCATCTTTCTCCCTCTTCATGTGGGTTCTTGGAAGCGTAATTATGTGCCGATCTAAATATGTGGTTTTTTCTTTGCATTGTCGCGTTTTCTGATTGGCTGTTTTTCTGTTACTTCTCGATAACAAATTGGTTTTGTCGTTTGCTTGATTTCTAGCGTAACTCATTCTGCTTGTATGGTTAGCGAACACTCTTTCTCGCTGTATGGCCTCCTTTGATTGAAATTACTGCGGTCAGTCCTGGGGCCGTGCATTTGTTTTCTGGGAAAAAATTCTAGACGAGTAAACCAAACTTTTAATCAGTGTCTTCTGAATTTCACGAAGCGCCTCGTTTATAATTTTTAGTTTTTTATTTGAAATTTAATATCAAATGTTGTTGCAATGCTGCGAGAGCTGTTAATGGAAAACTCCAAAAACCAAATGTCTGCTAGCCTTTCCGCTTATCTTCAGACCTATCTTCTTTTGGTTAAGAGTGAATGGGTCTTAGAGCAAAAATTTTGACATTGTGAATGTGAGTGCATTTGGTTCAGGACTAATTCTTTCTTCTTTCTGACTTATCATAGAGTGCCCTTTCGGAATTTTCTGATATATCGTAGCTATGTACTGTTTAGGACTACTATAGTTGTATGATTTTTCTTTTTTTCTTTATTTGTTCATTTGGACTTTTATTTTGCAGATAGAACCAATCCTAAGTGGGAATCTGCCTCCTGGATTTGATCCAAGCACATGTCGCAGTGTGTGAGTGTCATCAGGGCTTTTTCTTTTTTGCTTTACTATATTTTTGTATGTGCCTTTGTTGCCGTTTTAGTTGTGCACACATTTTCTTTTCTAGAGTGTGCATCAGTGGGTTTTTTTCTTTTATTTGTTTTAACTTGTTTTGGAGTTATAAAATCATGCATGACTATTTCATTAACCTGATAATAATATAATGTAGTTTTTGTTGAGAAGCTATCACACTATTTATCGTGAATTTTGGACTGCCATAGTTTGTGAATTGTCTTGATTAGGAATGTGTACTGAGGATGTTGAAAATGTGTTTTTGAATTATTAATTTTGGCTTTTTTATGGTGTTGTATCGTTGAATTTGATTTTCTCTCCTACATTATTCTGTATGAACAAATACAGGTACGTAGGTAATGTTCATCTTCAGGTTACCGAAGCCCTTCTTCAAGAGGTTTTCCAAAGTACTGGCCTTGTTGAAGGATGCAAGCTCATCAGGAAGGAGAAAGTCAGTTATTCGCTTTACTTTGAGATAGCTCTTTGGTTGAAGTGCTTATAATATTAAATTTTGTTGAAAATTTAGTCCTTGGCATTACTATTTCAGCATTTTGTGCATTCTCGTTGAATGGAATAGCTTGATTTATAGCGGAGCATGATATTGAACTTGTTATCTCTAATGATCTCCATACTTCAATCTGAATTTCATGAGTTGCTCTTATCTCAGGATCCTTGTTTAGGTTTGCCATGCTAGTACTTGTTTGCAGAGAACTGGCACTCCTCAAAGTTGTGCTTTTAAGATGTACCGCTCCCCGCATTAACTCAGTGGCATACTGTGCATATGCATGGTATGATTCACACCCTGACAAGTTTGGTTAGGAATGGATACAGAATTTATTATATGGATTTTGAGGATTAAAATCACTATTAGGTGAAAAAATCAATAATTATTTAGTCAATTATATCATTAATCTAGTTGATAACGATAACAACAACGGATACAATTCAAGTCGGCTACATTACAAAAGAACAAACAACGTCAATCAATTGCAAATCAGTGAAACATGAGATGTTCAGAGCAATTAATTTACATTATGTCCCATTAGTGTCTGCTGAAAGATAATTTGCATGGCCTAGCATTTTCATAACACTTGAAATGTTCATCTTCCTCAACCATCTTGGCTCATTTAACAAGTGGTCGACATATGAAATTTTAAATATTGCTAGTTTCTTTTAAATAGTTAACTTGTGAGAGGAACTCAAATTAGTTCGTAAGATTGTTTACATGTGGCTGAAATTTACACAACTATATGTTTGCCATTCGAAGACTAAAATATAATAAACAAGAAAACAAAACATTGACAGCAACAAATGATATTACAAAAAAAAACTGAGAAGCAACTAGAAAGCAGTGGCTAAAGAAATTTCAAATTTAGGAGCTTGTATTACAAGGCGAAGTCATCATCTTAGGACATATAACTAAAGTGTTTGTTTAAGAAAGTAAAAGGAAATGAGAAAAAATAATAGAAAACTAGACCTATTTTACCCAATCGAAATGAATCTTTTTTAAATTGGTATTCATGTTGATAGTGCACCATGACCAATGAGGATTTTATCTAGAAAATCGAGATGGCTGGACGCTTGGTTCCATCCGGTTTAGGCATTTGCATGCATCATAAGGTCACGTGCCTATGCGGCCATTGCATGCAGCGTAATGGCATGGCGCAATATGCACTGTGGCTTACATGATGATTATACTGGCATGGTATTTATATTATTTTGTGGTACCATATGTATTGTACATTAATGTAAATTACTGACTGATATTTAGATCTTCTAAGCTCTGATATGCTCATCATGCTTTGCTTTGACTTTGCAGTCATCATTTGGTTTTGTTGATTATTATGACCGCCAGTCAGCTGCACTTGCAATTGTAACACTTAATGGGAGGCAGCTGTAAGTTGGGTCATCAAAATTGTGTTGTCTGTTATTTTCTAATAGCATGTGTCATGGTTGATATCATGTAGCTTTGCAGGTTTGGCCAACCTCTTAAGGTTAATTGGGCGTATGCCAGTGGGCAAAGAGAGGACACATCAGGTCGAGTTTTACAATCATTTTACTTGCAAAGTTTGTGCTGCACTACAGATCGACTTGTATCATATGGAAATACTGACTTTAGGATGATTTATTATTGGGCATATATAGGCCACTACAACATCTTTGTTGGTGATCTTAGCCCTGAGATCACAGATGCAACCTTGTTTGCGTGCTTCTCTGTGTATTCAAGCTGCTCGTAAGAATTTTTTACCTATATATTTGTTTTTAGTAATGTTCTTATGTCTGAATTTTGTCAATTTTCATTGGGTCATATTGTTTAAGGAATTAGTAAGAACTTCGTTTTTGTGCCCAAAGGTTTTGAGAAATTGGCTTTACATGCCTGAAATCATGTAGACCTGCCTTTATCTTTTTTCTCTAGAGATGCAAGAGTCATGTGGGACCAAAAAACTGGGCGTTCGAGGGGGTTTGGTTTTGTTTCTTTCCGGAATCAACAGGTCAGTGATAGTTGATACTCAGCCTTAGGTTCATTATTATGGAATTTTGTCCAGTGAACACTTTTTTTACTATTATTTTGACAGGATGCTCAAAGTGCCATCAATGACTTAACTGGTGAGTTCTACTTTGTCAATTTCTGGTCATTACACTTTTCAGTGACCTACCAATCAACTTCTCTCAGGCTGATTGATGGTTTCAGGCGAATTATTACTTTGTGCACCTTACATATGTTCAGATTAATGGGGCAACTCTTATTAATGTGTATTTACTTTATGATTCTTAATATGGTTTGACTTGTGATATTCATCTTGTCTTTTTGATGTTCTATTCCAAAAGTTTCAATTCCAAAAATTTCAAGCTTGACTTGAGCAATCTTATCCTGAAATTACGCAGGCAAGTGGCTTGGCAGTCGGCAAATCCGTTGTAACTGGGCTACCAAGGGAGCTAATGCTAACGAAGACAAACAAAATTCAGATTCAAAGAGTGTGATGGATCTAACAAATGGATCTGCAGGTGGGTGTCATCTTGAACTGGTGTAGTAGCAGTATACAATATATATTGTTCTCGTGAGTTCTACAATCATGTCGTTAATCTTTTCTTTTGTGCATCAAAAGCTAATCAGTAAAAATATTTTTTTTCTGCTTCTTTCTGGTTAGAAATTTAGTTGGTAAAAAAAAAATCATATAATAAGTTTGTTAATTATGTAAAATAATCAGTAGTTATACTAAATTCCTTGGGAACCATAGCATTTCTACATGGTGACAGTGAGGTGGCCAAGTAAGTCTACTACCTTGACTGTGTAATGGATTCTTCATGATTCTGTGAAAACTATGTATTTCTTGTTTTTTGTTATATCTTTTATTTTAGATAACGGTGTAACCTGTCGAATACATGAGTTGTTTTTGTTGAATAGTTGGAATAAGTAGATTATTGCCAAGCATGTTAACTGCTCTTCTTTAAAAATAGCTAAATTAGGTGCCAAGTATTCCAGTGCGCTCGTATGTCAAGAACACAGTTTTGTTCTTGATGATCTTTTTTCATGTTGATTGTGCTGGCTTGGTTTGTAGACTATGTAATTTTTCAGTTTGAACTTTCTGTGTTAATCTGTGTGTGTGCGTTTTTTTGTTTTGGGGGCAGAAGATGGCCAAGAGAATACAAATGATGATGGCCCAGAGAATAATCCACAATATACAACTGTATACGTTGGTAACCTTGCTCATGAGGCAAGCATTCATTTCTCTCTTATTTGATTTTGTGCAAGCATCAACATCTCTTTTATATATACAAATTTCAGTAGTTTTTAAAATAAACCATGTTATGAAGCTTGTATTGATGCTTTGATGGATATCCTGCTTGTGCCTCATTACATTTTTGAATATTTAGTCACTTGTTGAAGCTTGTCATGCTTGTTTGATCGTAATTATTGCGAGTTTAGTTTTGGCGGAAGGGGATGGGGGTCATTTTTCTTTGTTGTAAGTTGAAATGTAAAATGGCAGGTTACACAACTGGATCTCCATCGCCAATTCCATGGCCTTGGTGCTGGAGTCATTGAGGAAGTTCGTATACAGCGTGAGAAAGGATTTGGTTTTGTAAGATACAGTAACCATTCTGAAGCTGCTCTGGCTATCCAAATCGGGAATGGTCAAATTCTATGTGGGAAACCAATCAAGGTAGAGTTGAATTATTTGCGCTCATTTTCTCTGAAGTGGAAAGCTTATTTTTTTAAAATATTTTTTGGATTTGACCTGTCTAGTATCAGATTTTTTTGAATCTTTGAAACTACATAATTAGAATTGTTAGTATTGGCTTGACAAGACTTGTTTTGATGGCATGTTTCAGTTCAATCTGCCTTTCAAGCACTGCTTGTTTACTATTTGGATGAATTTAAATGAAACTTTTATTGGGAAAAGATGTGATAATCTCTTTCTTCAAGACTGGGTTTACCCAACTTTGATTCCTTTAGGAGATGAATCTGATACAGGTATTGAACTTGACTTGTGCTAAACAGTGTCAAACTAGGCTCCCAGCCGGTCAGGGTGCACTTTGACCCATTCTGTGTTTGTTGACACTCATTATGCTTGTTCATGACTGGAAAATTTTTACTAGATCGGTGATGAGAAACGAAGAGAGGGAATATACATAAGTTGGAAAAGTTGCTCAAGTAGCCTTTGTGAAAGAGCTAATGTTACCTACTTTCTACCATATTGGAGTACAAAAGATACCTTTTCAAGGATGAATTATCCATTATGCCGTAAAATTAGATTAAAATCCTTGACTGGCCAAGTCTTTATGCTTTACTGCTTTAAGTTTTAGATATAAGATACAAGAACACTTCAAATGTAGATATAAAGCACAGGATCAATGTAAAGTTTCACATACATATGATCAAAATGATAGATCTTGGAGCTTTATTTTGATGATATAAGTGAGTTATCATAATAAAATAGACAAAATATCAGTGTGGTTGCTGTGGAGACCCCCAATAAGACCAAGTCTCAGTGACTGACAAAGGCCTAACATAGATGTGGTTAGTATTTTGAAATGTAGTTGCTTCATGTTTCCAAGTAATCTCATAAAAGACTATCACCTCGCACATACTCCACACCTTCACCTGATGCTTTGAAGAAGCCGACCCTCGAATGATGTTCTACATTGCACCTTTGGTATGTGAATGTCATCCGTCCGACATGCAACTTTGTGAAGTTGTGATCTGCCCAGGTGGATGAAGTGTAATATCGAATTGATTTATCCTAGTAGTTTCTTTTCTCTAGGTTTATTTTTATGCAGATAGATTTTGCAGTAGAGCAACAGATTATGGATATTTGATTCGTGCATTCATTTGTTCATGTTTCAGTGTTCTTGGGGCAGCAAACCAACACCACCGGGTACATCGTCTGCACCGCTGCCCCCACCTGCAGCTGCTCCATTCCCCGGACTCTCTGCAGCTGACCTCTTTGGCTACGACCCTGCATTGGCACTGAGCAAGATGAGCTCCAGCCAGTCACTGATGCATGCCCAGGGCCAGCATGCTCTGAAGCAAGCTGCGATGGCAATGGGTGCAGGCGGCAGCCAAGCTATCTACGATGGTGGTTTCCAAAACGCGAGCGCAGCCCAGCAGCTCATGTATTACTAGTGATTGGTTGTCTCCGCAGACCAAACAATTCGCTGACCATCTTATAGCTTTTCCCTTTATGGTTCCTTATATTTCTCTCTTATACCTCATCTTCTGCTATGTTTCGTTTGTCTGGCCGTTGTGCTGCCCCTCCTCTCGTTTGTGATCGAATTATCGAACGATCGTGTAGGCACATGGAATGTTTTGTAGGGTTTGATAAGACTACCTGGGGAGCTTTTATTCTACATTTTCTTTCCCTTTTTTGCTTCTTGTTTGTAAGATCTTGAGGGCATCCTCATTGTCTTGTTTTTATGGTTTGATTCTTATATGTAAATCCCTGATGGGGGTACTCTTGTCTTTGTCAATACTAATCTCCAAATCTCCATGCGTCATCTGTGTACATTTCTGTAAAGGAGTCTCTAGTTCTTGCTAGGCGATTGCTAGCTTTCACCAACCGTGCTGATCGACCGCTGAAGTAGTTGATTCGTGACGTAGAGATCTAGAAGATGAATCGCCGATCCTCCGGTGTTCGATCAAGAGAGATCAAGGGCACGGTGATCCTGTCAGCAGGAGCTCGAGAAGACGAGGGGTCCGCAGGAGATTCGCTCACATCACAGCCCCCAGCAGTGTCTTGTCGCAGGCACCTTCCGCGCGTTTCATGGGCGGGGAAGCGTCGTTCCGAACCCTTTGCGTTGACCGCATCGGGGACTAAATTTGGGGATTTGAGGTGCTGCTCAGCGGTGGAAGCCCGCGCATTTCTGACCCCTCTCGACCCAGATTTGTTCTCTCCGACGCGAAGCTCGACGGCTCCACTATAAATCTGGGAAATGGGAGTCACGGGAGCCGGCGAGGACGACGAGGACGATGGTGGGTCCTTCGAGAGCTCTGTTGCTGGTCATCGCCATCGCTTGCTGCCTGAGCTCATCGGCGATGAACGTGACCTACGATGGAAGAGCAATAATCATCGATGGCCAACGCCGGGTTCTCATCTCCGGCTCCATTCATTATGCACGGAGCACCGCCGAGGTTGGTCACCGCTCTACCTTCTCCCTCCAATGACATTGGCGAAATCCGTATCGCCTATGATTTTAATCCATTTGTGCTTTGATGGTGTTTCAGATGTGGCCAGATCTGATACAGAAGGCAAAGGAGGGTGGAGTCGATGCCATCGACACCTACATCTTTTGGAACGCTCATGAACCAAGCCGTGGAGAGGTTCCCCAAAATCTCGACTTTGCTGCATTGCCATATCCATTACATCAAGTGATTGGTCATCTAATGAGCAGCCTCTCTTACGTTCTCTTTCGGGCAGTACAATTTCGAGGGCAACCTGAACTTCATCAAGTTCATCAAGATTGTGCAGGATGCCGGCCTCTACGTAGTTCTCCGGATTGGACCATATGTTTGTGCTGAGTGGAACTATGGGTAAAATCTTAGCAACTTTATTTAGAGAATGTTCTTGGTGCTGTGGCCATTACATCATGTGTGATCGGGTTCAGTTCTTTTGCAGGGGTTTTCCTGTGTGGTTACATCAGATTCCAGGAATTGAACTGAGGACCAATAATGACATCTTTAAGGTACCTTTCTAGCTTTTTTATTTCTATTAATTATCTGCTATTTCAGTGAATTTTCTGTTTAAAGTGATTATTAATTATGAGGCAAAAAGACTTTTAACATGTCCTCTATTCCATCGTGTAGGCTGAGATGCAAACTTTCACAACTTTGATAGTGAGCATGATCAAAAAGGAAAAACTATTAGCTCCAGAAGGTGGACCGGTCATCATAACACAGGTTGGGTAGTCAGTGAAAACACAAACGCTTCTGTTATATAATGTCTTTCTGCAAGGAAGATCTGACATGTAATTTCATTGAGTATTAATTTTAATATAGAATAGCTATACAAAAAATGAGTTTGAGATAGGGAAATAAAATCACAACATGTGACCAATTTAGTCATCTCAATAGATGGAATAACATCAGCCAGATGATTTGCTAAGTGCAATTCTTGTGGCTTCTCAAGGGGTTCATTTTTCTTCTGTAACAGTCAAAATTTTCACTCTCCCCCCATCTGTCCATCCATTTTCTGACTGCTTGTTTGATAGTTAATGTTATGTTTTAGAAGTGTGATCAATCAATTCAATAGCAATAGCAGCAAGTTCTCATGACATTTCAACTAATCTGGCTTCACAAATGGAACTAAGAATAGCACTCTTCATAGTCCAAATTTTATTAGGAACAAGAAAACAATTGGCTTTTGATGGACTAGTTCCATTAGTTTGAAATGTGTCCCATTGTGTTTTTGATGTCAAGCATGAGCATGTGGTCAGTTAATTCATCTAGGGAATTATCTGTAAGAAAAACCATTGATATAGTAAGATACTGAAAGTGGGCCATATGTGCTTGCTGTGAAACAGATATATATTGTTTCGAACTATCAGGACTACATCATCACTTTTTCTTTAACTGTGATTGCTAGAACACTCATGGAAAATTTTGATATATCAGATCGAAAATGAGTATGGCAATTTCATAAAAAAGTATGGAGATTCTGGGAAAAAGTATATCCAGTGGTGTGCTGACATGGCAAAATCTCTCAATGTGAATGTGCCATGGATCATGTGCCAGCAAGCAGATGCACCATCTCCTATGGTAAATACACCTAAACCTAGATCTTTTATGGTTTGTTCTAAGGTTGATGGGTCAAAATGGCAACTTTGTCAAGTTTCTTGGCATCCTCAGGTGCAGTGATGTGCATCAAGTCAGATAGAGTATATTTGTAAGAGTTCCTTTTAGTTTTAGGATCACGTTAACTAAATCAACTTACAATTTGTTGGCATTCCCACCTTGCAGATAAATACTTGCAATGGCTTCTACTGTCACAAGTTCAAGCCAAATCGCCCAAGCATTCCCAAAATGTGGACAGAAAATTGGACCGGATGGTGAGCTCGTCTTGCTCTTAATCAATTTCACCCCTCAGTACAAACCTGACAGTGAGTTTGTTGAGATTCTTTAGGTTCAAAGGTTGGGGAGAGAGTCAACCTCATAGACCTGTTGAAGATGTGGCTTATGCAGTGGCAAACTTCTTTGCATCTGGAGGCACCTTCCAGAATTATTATATGGTGCAAAATACACATTTCAATGCATACATCATTATGAATTAATCGACACAAGTTTCTTTCGTATGCTGAGAGTTGGTTATAATTGACTACCTTAATACATAATAACTTTTTCAGAAGGGATAATTACATCATGCTTGTCTCTGCTGTTAATCTATCCCATTACTCTTTTTCAGTATCATGGAGGAACCAATTTTGGTCGGACATCAGGAGGTCCTTATCTTACAACATCATATGATTATGATGCTCCTCTAGATGAATATGGTACTTATCACATGACACCTTCTTGACAGAAACATTTCAGTATCAACTTGTAGAATGCATGTTTAGACCCTGCAACAAAACCAGCTTTAGAAGCATCTTAAGACTTTGTTACTATATTATAGGCAAAACATTTCCTGATTGACGGTTTGAGTGTTTATATTAACTGAATATTATCGGAACTCTGAATCTTTTGTTTTCTTTTTATGCCTTTGTGTGGAGATTTGGGAAAATGCTTCTGCAGAATGAGATATTTGTTAGTCAAGCAAAATTACATGACTTTTTTTTTAGCACAAGATTCAAAATGGCAAACCGATGTACTAGAAATACCATTTCTTACTCATTAAGAGTATACTGCCCATAATATTTGTGATGTAATTAAGACTAACAAGATTCTTTCGTTCCGTTTATCAAGCATTGAACAATCCATGAATATTATCTTTTCCTCATCTATAAAGGGAACATAAGGCAACCAAAGTGGGGACATTTGAAGCAATTACATAGTGCCATTAAAATGATGGAGAAGATTCTCACATACGGTGAAGTCAATACCACACAGCTGGGAAATGCATTGGCGGTCTGTCATACTTATCCCTCTGTTTTTACCTATTGATGCATGGCATACAAAACTGACACCAATTTACTATTTTGCAGGTAACAAAGTTCTCCATAAATGAAACTAGTTCTGGCTGTTTCTTGACCAATGCTAATCAATCAAATGATGCCAATGCAACATACAATGGAAACACATATCTTGTGCCTTCTAGGTCTATCAGTATCCTCCCTGATTGCGAAAAGGAAGTCTACAACACTGCCAAGGTAAATTGCTTACATCTTTTCAATAGGATGGAATTGGACCTCTTTGTACAAATGTGATTAGCCTAAGCTTTTTATGGCATATGAAAGGAAAATCAAGACAAAGACCTTAAGGAGTCTTTATAATCCAAGATACCTTTAACCGGCACAGATATAACTATTAGAATAAACGGAATGTAATTCAGATTGACTTACATGGCTAAATTGTACACTTCATTATAGATCAAGACAAGCCAAAAATTTATTCATAATTAGGTTTAGATGTACTTAAAATGTGGACAATTTTATAATAACACCTAATCTAAACAGGAGTCTTTGGTGCATGTTAAGAAGTTGGAACTATTGTCCATCAAGGTTATCTCATACTTGGGTGTTAATGGAATTTCTTTAAATTCTATTTGCATGCAGGTAACCACACAAACTTCTTTGATGGTTAACAAACCTGTCAAGTCTACAAAATTGAGTTGGAAATGGCACTCTGAAATCATGGAGGATACCCTCAATGGTAAGGGGTCATTCTCTAATGAGTCACTATTAGAGCAGATCATGACTACTGGTGATGCTAGTGACTACTTGTGGTACATGACCAGGTAATATACTTTTATGTTCATCTTGCAAAATAAACATCGATTGTTCGGTCGGTAGCTACATGACAATCAAATGGATATAGCGTCAAGAACTAACAACCCACAGTGTTAGTTCATTACCCTTTCAACTTGACATTCCAAAAAAGTATGACTAGACAAGCTAAACAGAAATATCTTACACAATGCAACATATTGCCAGAGTTTTTGGTAGGTAAAAACTTAATACAGCAATCGCTAGTATTGTTTATGTATTGTCTCATATAAATGCTGTGTCCTAATTAATAGTGCACCATCATAAAACCTAATCCATAGTAGTATAGTTTACTTCATGAATTTTCTATTATTTTATAAGCTGTATGAATCAGAAAAAGCATCTATACTTTTCTTGTTTGGTCACTTTGTGCATCATAAGAATTCTTATTTAAGTACATGTTGTTACAGTGTGACACTCAACAAATCCAGTACATCTTGGCGCAAGAAGATGAACCTACGGGTTAAAACAAAAGGCCACATTCTTCATGCTTATGTTAACAACCGCCTAATAGGTAATTCTTCTTATCAGTGCCTTCTTAGTTGTAAACTCAATTTGAGTTCCAACTGTGCAAGAACAGAACTAATTTTATATGTTTTTTTTCTTCCCATATATACCCTTCATTTAGTAAATGTAAAAACAACAAACTTTGAGGATGTTTAGATTGGAAAGTGTTGTGAACAGTCTATCAAATTTTGTCACAGCAGGATCAGGATATACTACTAAAGGATCTTACAAGTTTGTCTTTTTGCAAACAGTCTAACAAAGTTTGTAACAACAGGATCAGGTTATGCTACAAAAGGATCTTACAAGTTTGACTTTGAGCAGGAGGCCGAATTGAGGGATGGACATAATTTCATTACATTGCTCAGTGCTACTGATGGTCTGGCGGTTTGTATTTCCATATGCACATACATTTATAGTTTTCTAGTTCATCTATTGTAGGCAGATCTATTGTTAATCTTATTGTTAAGGGTGCCAACAAGTCTAGCTGCTTTCTATCTATGCACAGGTTTTGAGAGAAGTTGTGTTTTATAAAGATTTATTTGGGCATCTTTTGAAATTCCAAAGTCCCTTGAAGCACTAAACTAGGACTTGCTTTGATATCATATGGTTCCTTATTTTCGTTGAAGAAAGAAAAGGATGCATGATTCTGAGAGAAAATTTTCCATTTGTTATCGATAATGCTTCATGTGGAACGAGAACAACTTTGGTAACAGCATGCTTGTCTGGTGTACTGGTCAGAACTATGGGGCATTTTTTGACTTGCAAAAGGCTGGAATCGATGGTGGTCCTGTTGAACTTATTGGAAATGGAAAGGAAAAAATTGACTTGACAAAAAACAAATGGTCATACAAGGTATCTTTAAGTACTTAATTTAGATGATTCAAGAAAACATTCTTGTTCTATAAATATTATTGTGGCTCTTAAAACTCTATTCAAATTGTTGCGAGATTGGACTGAATGGAGAGATGAGCAAAATCTACTTGCCATCAGCATCCCATGGCCTCAACTGGAACTCTGATCGACTTCCTATTAACAAGTCAATGACTTGGTATAAGGTAATGAAAAGTTAAAGACTTACTGGAGACCACCGTTTCTTGTTTTTCACATTGTTCTCAAATGATTATCAACGATGAATTAGTATGTTTAAAGTTCAACTTTTGTGGAGGTGCAAGACTATATATTTTGGTTGGTTTTATTTGATTCAGACAACATTTGAGGTTCCTGATGGCAATGATAGTCTCGTGTTGGACCTGCAAGGAATGGGGAAAGGGCATGCTTGGGTGAACGGGCAGAGCATTGGGCGCTACTGGCCAAGCTTCCTTGCTGCTGACAGCGGGTGTGAACCTTGTGATTACCGACAAAAATATGACTCGGACAAGTGTAGAACTGAATGCGGAATGCCTTCTCAGAGATGGTAAGTTCATTAAGCTTCAAACTCTTGGCTGTTTTAGTTCTGCACTGTCTGCAGATATTAAAATTTGCATTAGGAAGGGCTATCATACCCACAGGTTTGAGATCAAAATTTCTGTTGGGCAATACAGATAACAGATTAACCTTTCGGTTCAAACTTTTGTATGTTGTGGTGCTGGTTTGAGCACCACCAACTAGCACACATCGATAATGCAAGACTGAGCAACGACACAGTCGCTTCTGCAAAATTAGAACATCAGATTTCCTAGAAAAAGAGGATGCCAACTGACCTACTGGGTGTCATCCTGTTGTTGGTCATCAAATAACTTTAGTGAGCTTCTAAAGAGGGTAAATTTTTTGATGCAGAACAAAAGTTTTGAAGTTATGCATTAGCTTTAAAGTATAATCATACGAAAGTAGACGTCGAGTATCATGATTCTATTTCGCTTTTCACTTTCATGTCTTTGTTATTTTGTCATTCATATTGCTGTTCAAAGCACTTGAAAGGAATTCTTTCCCCCACCTCAACTCTATAGTAAAGGCAGAAACTGAACTCTGAGAACAAGCAAGTTTTTGAAAGAATAGTATTCAAAAATTGTTCTTGTACCATTTGATACTAGACTCATAATTGAGCTTCCAATAGGTACCATGTCCCTAAATCCTTCACTACCAAGGGACCCAATACTCTGATCTTGTTCGAGGAAGTCGGTGGTGATCCTTCTCAAGTGAGTCTCCAGACGGTGACCATTGGAACAGTATGTGCCAATGTTGTCGAGGGAAGCATTCTGGAGCTGTCATGCCAAGGGAGCAGAAGCTTCAGCAAGATTCAATTTGCAAGCTTTGGAAATCCTGAGGGGTCTTGTGGTTCGTTTAAGAAGGGCTCTTGTGAGGCTCCTGATGCCTTAGCGGTCGTAAAGAAGGTAATGGATGTTTCCTTTGGCCAAGAACACATGCATACACCAAGACCAGGTCAAATGACGTCGATGTTTTCTGATTCCAGGCATGCATCGGTCGATCTAACTGCTCTATCAATGTGACTGCAAACGCATTCGGGCCCAGTGAATGCAGCGATCTCAGCAGGAGGCTCGCAGTACAAGCAATCTGCTGATGAAACCCCTCTACTCATATGAACAGCCTTCTTTGCTTTGCGAGAGGTTACAAGTAAGAAACAGAGCTCGGTGCCAGCTCCTGTTTGTATACTCTCTTCTCTTCTCTTCAAGTTTTTTCTTTCCATCGAGTGTTGAATGTACTGCAAATGTTACACTCATGCTCTGTCGGCATGAAGCCTGAAACTAATTTTTGTTTAAGCTGTGAAATGAAGCATCAACATGTTTCAGTATAACTCACAAATCAATGCTATACCCTTGTGATTGTTGGAAACCTTTGTGCCGTGGCCAAAGTGCCAGTACGGTTCGGTCCAATTGTGTATGCACAAAGTTGCCCATGCGAATGTTGGATATTGGAAGTGAGCGTCGGGTCGGGTTGGGTTCGAGCCTCATCTCCCAAGGTCAACCTTCTTTCTTAGCGGGTTGCTTGTTTCTTCATCGTCGAGTTTTTACACACGGGTCGAATTCGGAAGGGGGATTTTTCCACTCGATCCCTCCGAAGTTTAAGTTAGTGTCGAGTAGAGTAAGAGAAAGTAGAGTGCTTTAGCTTCTTGATGGTTGGCTTTTATATCTGCAAACGAGAATTAATCATACATGGTCCGTTAATGGTTGTTGACTACCTATATGGACTCGAGTCGTGTGCCATCGTTCCAAGCTTTCTGGAAGGACTTTGTAGTATGCGGCGTCAACTTGTACGGAGTTGGACAATACGAGGGCAAGTGGTCATCCCATTCAGGTTTGAGGTGTCGCATCATTATAGCCTGGAGCTCCTTCGTTGGCATCGTCGAGATTGTCGATTGTTATCACGTGGATGGTGTTGAAATATATCATATCAATGCTATACGCTTGTGATGTCTTTTAAATACAAAGGATGTTATACCTCTTCACAAGTTGTTGATCCTAAAGTTTTCGTGAATGATTAGCTGAGATGTTAAAGACGGAGGAATTGAGTCGTCATCAGAATTGGCTTATTTTATGATATCGGTGAACGATCGAATCGAATCTCATATCATTGCTGGCTGGCCAAAAACTAATTCGATCAAAATTCCTCACCATAATATATGACAGTGAATAATGCGAACATCAATTCAAATGCTTTGTCCATCTGATATGTCGACCAAAATCTTTCATCAGAATAATATGATCGACTCTTTACGCATCGAGTAATAATCGGTGATTTCACATAATTGTCATATTCCTCATTTTCAACACGCGAATAACGTATTCATACCCAAGTCAAACATCCAAAAATATACTTGCCGAACACGTTTGGATCTTTCTGACGTTGACTTTGCTACACATCAAAAATGTTGTCGCGTGGTTGGTTCAGATCCGCACGACACGACCCAACTCACGTAGTAGTAGTAGTAGCATGCTTGGGGATATTAATTATCCGCGGCTCGTGTTGTGTGTCGTCGCGGTCATGACCTGGTCAAGCACGCAAAACTAGGTCTCAGGTGAGATCTCAGCAAATGGGGTCCCTTTTCGTGTTCCTGTCGCGGGTGGGAGCCGCGATGTGAAGCTCCACCGGTGAATGCATCTTCCCCCGCCGGAACGGACGGACGGCGAGGGAACAGATGGGAAAAGTTGAGTTGATCAAAAGGATTCTTCATCACTGGTCATGTCACCAAAATCCAATCATCATCACAGCGAGGGCCGACCGGTCGACACGGGCGAAGATGCTACTAGATAAAGCTATATTTTTCTTTTTAATATTACGAGAGTAAAATAATCCTTTTTTAATGAATTTTTTTTATTTACGAGAAAAATCAAAGGTTAGTAGAAACTCTTTTAAAAATTTTATCTAATTTAATATATATATATATATATATATATATATATATATATATATATATATATATATATATATATATATATATATATATATAACACAGTTGGTGCCCGCGTAGTTGTCCTACGCGTCACACGGCTGCCGAGTCGGCAAATAATTGACCAAAGTCGACCCCTCCGGCCTTGACCGCCCGACCATTTTGTTTTGGGATTTAAACGGAAGTCTATTTAAGGGACAACACATTTCGCATCGAAACTCCAATAATAAATAGGGATTAGACATTAACCAAACATCTCGCCGCCCAACAACCTCTGTGAACGCATATCTCTTATAAATGATCGAACGAGCTAAATGACTCGTTCCACTATTCGTCACATCACAAGATATTATATTATAAAAATTATTATAGTCTCTTTTTGACTTTTTTTACTAATTTATATTTATATTATCCTTATTTTTATAATTTTAAAAATATTATATATATATATATATATTAATCCAAATTAAGATTGGAATAGGCAGAGAGATTGGTTTTTTATTGTTGCAACCAAGAAAACCTATCGTAAAAAAATCCAAAGTGCTCCACATTCTTCATTTATGTTAAGTTCGCCTTTGCATTTAGATTGAGTTAAAGTTGCAAGAACATAATCAAACAGCCTTTGATGAATCAAATCTGACGACAAGAGAGAGAGAGAGAGAACACCAATTCCATCAACTACTTGCTTTTTCATACAGTGAATGTGAACCAAAACTACGCTCTTGAAAGGGACGAATCGATCGATGACGACTCCTCCCACCGTGCAGAGGCGGAAGGCCTCCAAAGCAGCGGTATCCCCGCCACCATCAACCTAGGCGCGCAGGTAATACGCGATGGCCCTTCGCCAATCCCACGCCTCGAGTCCCATCAGGTATGTCCAAACCCGGGTGCCGTTGCCTCACCGTCCATAGTTCCCGTTGACCTCGCCGCAAAATAACGCCACGGACTTCCTTTGGCTTCGGTCCAGTTTCGACTACTGCCGACCTCCCCTTCCTTTTCGTCTTCCTCTTCTGCTACAGCTTCCTCCTCCGCACCTATAAATACTCGCTGGTGATCTATGTGTCAAACGATTCGTTGCTGTACTCGCCAAGTGACGGAGGACTCCAAGAGGGCACGTTCCCCTTAGACGGCATGCAGAACCAGGAAATCGGCACGATGAAGGCGCAGCCGACGACGGCGAGGTACAAGGGAGTGCGATTGAGGAAGTGGGGCAAATGGGTAGCCGAGGTGCGGTTCCCCAACAGCCGCCAGCGGCTGTGGCTCGGCTCCTACCCGACGCCCGAGATGGCTGCGCGAGCCTACGACGCCGCCGTGTACTGCCTGCGCGGCCCCGGCGCGGCGTTCAACTTCCCGAGCCACCCACCCAGCATACCGTCGGCCGACAAGCTGAGCCGGTACGAGATACGTGAGGCGGCCGAGCGGCACGCGCGCGAAGGGCCGCAGCGGGAGGAGGCAGAGGAAGCTGGCGAGCAAGTGGTGGATCCTGGTGCGGGAAGCTCTTGTTTAGGGGTGCCGTCGGGGCAGCCGGCCGAGCCGTCATCATCAGTGCCGGTTTTCGACGACGCCACAGCGAGCGGTGGGGAATGGTTCGATGGTTTCTGGTATGACGCCGGGGGCGGCAACGACGATGACGATATCTATCGATCGTCTCCTCTTTGGAACTTCCATCAGTAGAACGAATGCCACTGTTCATCGAACACCCCGTAAATTCGTACTCGAGGCGCTTTCTTCGCGCTTATACTCGTAGACGCCCCAGCCTTACCATGCGAGCCTTGTCCTGGTTGACTTGTGTCAGATTGGATATGGTCGTTGACTATTTGCTTTACGTTGTAGATTCTTCGATCAGATACATAATCCGTACTTACAACGCTTCCTTCTCACTCACACTCGAAGAATGCTGAGCTTTAATATTCGAGCCCTGACCTGATCGACTTGTTTGGGACGAGAACGCTGGTTGACTGTTTCCTGTATGTCAAGATTATGGGGCCAATTCATCTGACTTCTAATTGGATATCACTGGTACGATGCAGATCCAAAAGTTGCCCCGCGAATCCTACGTCGATCCTACTTCGATATAACATAGAAAGCTCTGGTCATGTCACCGTTCTTTCTCATTCGTCTCGGGTGGGAGAAGCGCAGAATCTGAGTGTTTTGTCGCCTGGTGGATAATCCTATCTCCCCTTTTGCTAAGGCAAGATCCACATGCTCTCTCTCTCTCTCTCTCTCTCTCTCTCTCTCTCGTGGAAGAGTTCGGTTGGCGCAATTTAACGAGCAATTCGGCAGTCGGTGTAAGCCGCTAACTTGAGGTCTACACTCGCTTCCACACAATTCTGTTGCTTCACGCATTCTTGATCTTTGACGCTCGCATTTATTCCATGGTGTCGATCGGGCTACCTGTGATTTGCTTCGTGTAGTTGCTACTATCAAGACGCGCGCGAAGAAACTCCCGTCTCGTTGCATGAGAAAAGAAGGAATTTTTTCCCCTCACTTTGCCTGAAAAGATCGAACAGGATCGATGTCAACACGCTGTGTTCTCGGTGTTCCAAATTGCTCTAACAGGAGCCGAGAAAGGTTTTGATCATAATGGATGTGCTGAAGAAAGGACTCAAACAATTGGCAGCAGATCGATCTGCAGGTCTGTGGACAAGCAGCTTCGTGTCAGTAAGATGGCGCATTCCAGGAGAGGCAGATGGCTCCTCGATGTGGCATCAGGATCAGGTGGATTTATATGTTTCCTGAACGCTTTCAAGGTCGTGAGCGTTAGAATATTAGCAGCACCTGCAACGTACGTTGGGAAATCCAGTTTTATCAGCCTTTAGCTTTGAAGGATGGGGTTATTTTAGCCTTCCTTGTACTTTGTTATATTCATTCATGTTGGATTTTTACCTAGGATCATCTTGTCGGGTCCATAGATCCTCTGTCTTGATGCCTGCTGGTTGTACCAATCGACTAAATAACAAGTATGAATCTGATCGTCACTTCGCTTTTAGCAAGGGCTTTCATATTTCCAGCTTATGAAGAATTTCCAGGTGCTGCAAATCTTTTGCATTTTCTATTCTTTTTTCTGCTTGTGCAGATGTGGAGAATCCATGCACTCTTACCGAATAGTTTGTGTTTTCCTTTCCTCATCTTAGGTTGCAGCCGAAGAGAAGGCCACTGGTGGTTTGCTGTTGATTGAGGCTGCAAAGATTTCCACTCATTTCTCTCTCCATTAGATGTTGTAGTTTTTATGGAGAGAACAGTCTTATTTTTGTCTCCTTTTTTTTTGTATTCCTGTGCATTTCAGCTTGTACAAAACGAATTATTTCCATCAACCACAGCATCTAAGCTTTAAAGTTTCTTCCAAGTATTTTGCTGTGCAGGGTATTTGCCATAATTTAAATGATGTTTCCCCTTCTCTTTTGCTATGTAACAGGTGACCTGCTAACTTAACATAGGCACCAACCTGATGGATATGATTGGGTGGACTTTGTCAAGCAGATACAGTGTATTATTGGGTGACTGAAGTCTGAATCAGATGTGATATTTTGTACGCATTTTTCTGTGCTTTCATGGTAAATTTGTGTTGATGATTGATTGGTTTCTGTTCTGCCTTTCTACAGTGTTCATCTAATTAGGTTAGGGATTCTAGTTGCCTGTTTTTTTGGCATAATTACTCGCATATCATACCGGCGCTAATCATGTGATAAATCAACACCAATTTTATGCTGCTTACTTGAAAACAGGTCTTCTCATATAAAAAAAAAGATGACATAGATTTTACTATTTATATTGAAGAAAAATTTTGAAGCTACAATGTGATTTTTTTCAAAAAATAATTATTATTATCATTATTTTTTATTTTGGAGCTCGGTCAAACGTATCATAAGACAATATAAATTTTGAAAATGATTTGATAGGTGTGGATCACTGGCCCAAAATGATTAAAGTTAATAATAATAATAGGCCCGCCAATGTTGCACAAAAGCCATCCATGTTAGATAGATCTGATACTAGTTGAATTAGGAATCAAAATCCAACAAAGTGAATGTGTGAGTATTTATTCATGTGGAAGATTAGAAAAAAATAAAAATGGTTTCGTCAGTCATAGTAGTAGTAAATTCAATCCTGGAATTTCAATGCTGATTGATCTGCACTTGACCTTAGTTTCATAATTTAAATTCATACAAAATCCAAGCATTGAGCTGAATCCTTGGAATTTAGTTTCAGTCATGCTCTCAAAAACCAAAAGACCTGCTCCACCAGTCTCTGGTCAGCAATGTGAACAACTGATTTGAAACCATGGCCAAGTCTTTTTAAAGGACTTAGCAACTATAGTTTTTTTTTGCCAGGGAGGATAGATATTTGATGCAATGATATTGGCATCAATGCACTGTCCAACCTTCCAACTCATGTTCCTGCAGCATACCTCTTATGTTCATATTGAAGAAACGACCACATTTCCATAGGGAGCCATTGCTAACCTGGAGAAAGATGAACCAGAGATCTGGTAACAGTTGAGGTAGTGGTCGAAGCCAGGCTCTTCGCAATCAAATTATGGGCCCTTTGACTAACCTACACAGTACAAGAACGAAGTAGAGAGATGTAGGTTTCTGAGGTGCAGGACGAGGAAATAGTCTTGACGAGTTCTCAGGTGCAAGGCTGGTCTCTGACTGAAGTGCTCTTAGTTTAAGTTCACCAGACTCGGGAACAGCCTATCATCGCCCGAGTTCACATCAAACTTTCTAAGCTCTCTCATGTGATTTATTTATTAGCTTGCTGCTTCATCTCCCTCCAACAGGTGGTCAATGGATTACGATACAAACTCCTACCAATGAAACCAGAACAGCTCAACACGGGCTTCGAGCTTCTAACTTATTATTCCTGCACATGGCCATGGAGGTTTGATGTAATCGCTTTGACCCAGCCACAGTGAGCACATAAATAATGATAGCTGCATATGAAGTGTGATACAAGGTTAGCAGCTTGAATATGAGAGAGGCAATAAATACATGGAGAAAACGGCACATGACATCATCTCACACAAGCTTGCGGTGGTGACATATAGAAGAAGATAATTTTGTTTGGAGTATGTTAGATGAAATTTATAGAGAAATTGAAAGATGAAAATGATACTGTTTCTGCCGGTCCTCAGTACATGTTCACAAGTTTTGCTTTTGTGGTGCAATGACTATGGTAATCAATTAGTGAGTGCCCAACTCCTCATGCCTTTTTCTTTCAAGTAGCTGTCAGCTGATGGAGAGAGTACATACTGCATCCTGTTGTTGCTGGTGTGGTGTTCTTTTCCCCATGCAAAAAGATTAGACACCATGTCAATGCTTCCCGACCAAACACCTGAATCCCCTGCCATCTTCCTTCCACCCAGTTCTTCTTTTTAGGCCGAATGCCTTTTGTGGCGGCTAATGTTGGCTGCTATGACCCGCACTTGGATCATTTGAACAGCAGTTCCTTTGTGAGATAGGGGCACAAGTGATTAAATGCCGGTGAAAGTTGCTGGAATCTGGTTGTGCAGGTCAGAATACGTTTAATGCCAGTTTGACCTTCGGTTCATTCAAGTCTTTCGAGTTGACCAAAAGTTCAACGCATGTGTTCTTTAAGCCCAGAAGTCGGCATGGCACATGTGACAGGGAGAGCGCTGGAAATTGCCAAGCACAACAGGCACAACCTCAAGTTGATCTCCATCAGCTCCAGTCCAAGTTACCACGAGAACATAATTCAACAGTCAAGGAATGGGGTTTTGAATGTTTATTCGATGGCTTTCCAAGTAAATCACCATTGCTTTGCTTGTCCTGACCGGGATGCCGAGTATCATCATTTTTTTTATGGCTTGTCCTTCCCTGAAGCAGATGCCATCAGTGATGATACTGCAGACTCATGCCACATTACAAGGTGATTGCTATCTAGATGCATGCACATGACTGCAACGAGATTGGAAATAGCAGGAAATATCGTTTGACCCATGAAAGCAAGATCATTTATGCTTGTCCTCAAGTTTATTTTGACGAACAAATCAGAGGCTAGGAAGGGACAAGGAAACTGTGACATTGGTCAATGGAGATTTGCTGCATGTTCCTCCCAGAATTCCATGTGGGTTATTCCCTTCATCGCACCCTGCAGAAGAAATCCACCCTGAGTTTACTGCAATGAAGAATCTGTGGACAAGAAAAAAGAGACAAAATCTAGTATTAGGAAAGTAAGAGCAAGGTCCAACCCTTGGTTTACGCTTACTTTGAACCAAGGAAAAAACATGATTCCAAGTTGTGTGTTCTTGTTCTTCAAAGTCGGGACGCCATTTGAACTGACTACCAGGAGGAACAAGACCATGAAGATTGCTTTGGTGGGACGAACAAGGAAAAGCATTCCAGAAGATAGACCTCATAAATCACATCAAACGCAACAAGAAATTTACAGCAAATGGTTAGAAGCATTTTATGTTTAGGAGAACCATCATGTTCCTCATATTCAGCAACTCCATGTAACTTTCCTGTCCGATGAACTCTTATTTTCCCCACCTTTTACATTCTTTTCTGCAGCTGTTTGCCTTCATTCATCTCTTTGACATGCCACAGCAACTTCTAAGTTTTTTCTCATTCTATCATCACCTTACAAAGCTGAAATGTGTGTGTGTGTGTGTGTGAGAGAGAGAGAGAGAGAGAGAGAGAGAACAGGAAAAATTAGGCCCTTGCTGAAGTGAATTAATTAGTGCTTTGAATTATACTAGTTTTCTGATACATGCAGACTCAGTTCTTGCCATTAGAATAAGCCACCGAATCCTACCGAAACTTGGTCTTGTCCACCAAGAAGCTTAAAGAAGTGGCCTTTCATGGATGCACCAATACAAGAAGTCCATTCTTGATGCCCTCCCAGACCTTTGAATGCTCCCAGGAATTCAAACTAGGAGTCAACGTTCCTAAAGCCACAAGCAAAATATAACCCAGGTTTACTACTATTATACTGAGAGGTCTTGAGGTCAACCCCACTGGGTATTAAGTTTCGCTACCAGCTTCAATCATGCATACCTTCTTCCTACTTTGAAACAACGCTAGTTCATGGAAATAACATGCCAATTTCCCCTTGTATTCATCTATTTATGAGATTTCTCTCTCTCTCTCTTATATATATATATATATATATATATATATATATAATATCAGCAATTTTTGCTAAGGCAGATTTCACTTAGCTGCATGCATGTCACGTGCCTACTTCCGAACAACTCCTTATATATACGCATCATGCTGTGACTTCCATACTCAGCACCTTCATCTCTTTATCGCTTATATAGGAGGGCGAGGGAGAGAGATCTCTCGTACTCCATTACACTCTTCATATCGATTCCATTTCCTTAAGAGAGAGACATAGAGAGAAGGGATGGAGAAGAGTGGGAAGCCGAGGGTGGCGATCATAGGGGGAGGCATCAGTGGCCTTGCGGCAGCGAAGGAGCTCCGCTGGCTCGAGCCAGTCCTCTTCGAGGCCACGGACTCCATAGGAGGGGTCTGGAGGCACTGCTCCTTCCGCACCACGAGGCTGCAGACTCCGCGGCCGGACTACGAGTTCTCCGACTACCAGTGGAGCGACCGGAACGACGCCACGTTCCCCACCCACATCGAGATATTGGAGTACCTCCACGGCTACGCCACCCACTTCGACCTGTGGAAGTTCATCAAACTCCAGACCAAGGTCGTGGAGATCCGCTCCATCGGCGACGACCGTGAGACCTGGTTCACCGAGCTCTGGGGGGACAAAGGACGGACCATCCCCGACCAGCCAGCGTGGGAGGTCGGCGTGGTGACCGGCCACTCCGCCACCGTTCAGGTGCCCATACTGCTTTAAATATCGCGCTTCTACGTACATCGTTCCTGAGACACCAAGAGTGATTTCCTTCGATATGTTTTAGTGGTACAAGTTCGAGTTCATCGTGATGTGCATCGGAAAGTACGGTGACATCCCAAACATGCCCAAGTTTCCCCCCGGGAAGGGAGCAGAGATCTTCCGAGGCAAGGTGATGCACTCGCTGGACTACTGCAAACTCGACGAAGACGCCACCAAGGAACTGATGAAGGGGAAGAAGGTCGTCATCATCGGCTACAAGAAATCCTCCATCGACCTCGCAGTCGAATGCGCTGAAGCCAACCGAGGTAACCTTCTTAACGTTTCACTCCATTGTGTTTCCCTTTTCGAACAATTTCCAGCGAGATTTCATGAAAGCATGAACACTACAAACTCATAACCAGTCTGAGAAGCAAGACAAAGAAACGAAAAGAAAGAAGAGTAACATGCATGTGTGGGGAAGAAAGGTCAAACTTTCCTCTTTCTCTCTCTCTCTCTCTCTCTCTCTCTCTCTCTCAAGGCATTTTATGTTCTTGGATCATGATGCCTTTCTTGGGTTCGCATGCATTTTACACTTTGGTGGACGAAAGTAGCGGTCCCGATTGTGGTCAAAGTCCAGACATGAGCAACGAACATTGACTGGTTGACTTCCCATGCCACCCGCCAACCCCGCAAGGAAAAGAGGATTAGACGTCGTCTTTTGTCCACTGTAGAAGAAGGCGAAGAACTCAAACAGATTAAATAAGATGTTGACTTTGGCCACTTGATACCGGTCGAGAGTCCACTTATTTATTAGTTTACCTGCGCATCTTCAGAGCTTGGCATGCCCGTGTCGTTGACTTCGTATCCTGTGTTTGATCAATGTGCTCTGCAGGGGAAGATGGCCAGCCATGCACCATGGTGATAAGGACCCTCCATTGGACTGTTCCCTCCTACTCCATATGGGGCCTGCCCTTCTTCCTCTTCTTCTCCACAAGGTTTTCTCAGTTCCTCCATGAAAGGCCGAATCAAGGACTGATGAAATCTCTTGCCTCCCACCTTTTAACCCCGTTGGTAATTGCTTCATCCAACGCATTCCATCATATTACGACGAACAGAGTACGTTAGGTTTATGTTGACGCTCGCTTTTGACATCTATACAGAGGAGAGGTGTGTCGAAGTTTATTGAATCGTATCTCACATGGAAGCTTCCTCTGGACAAGTACGGGCTGAAACCAGACCATCCTTTCGTGGAAGACTATGCCTCATGTCAGATGGCCATCTTGCCGGAGAACTTCTTCGCCGAGGCCGACGAAGGGCGGATCATGTTCAAGCGGTCATCGCAGTGGCGCTTCTGGGAAGGTGGTGTGGTTCTTGACGACGACACCAAGTTGGAGGCTGATGTCGTGCTCCTCGCGACGGGATTCGACGGCAAGCAGAAGCTGAGATCAGTGCTTCCCGAGCCTTACCGTGGACTGATAGTGGATTCCTCCGGTGTCATGCCGCTGTATAGGTACGTAGGTAAAATATTTCTCCTTCCCTCCATCGATTACTTCAGCTAAACGTCTGGTTGTTTCGTTCATGGCAGGGGCACAATCCATCCGCTGATCCCACACATGGCGTTCGTGGGGTACATCGAGAGCGTATCGAACCTGCACACGTCGGAGCTGCGGTGCAAGTGGCTGGGGAGGCTGCTCAAGGGGCACTTCCAGTTGCCGAGCGTGGAGGCGATGTTCCGGCAGACCAGAGAGGAGATAGAGGTGATGAAGCGGACCACCAGGTTCTACCGCCGCCACTGCATCTCCACCTACAGCATCAACCACAGCGACGACATGTGCGAGGAGATGGGCTGGAGTCCATGGCGGAAGGGCAGCTGGCTCTCCGAGGCCTTCAGTGCGTACAACAACCAGGATTACAAGGAAGACAAGAGCGAATAAGCTTTCGATAGATCGATGACGTGCCATCAACAAGGAAATAGTCAATATTAATTTGGTCAGGTTGAAATAAAGCTATGTCAAGCGATATGTGCTCTTTACATTTATATATAATCGATATACAATTTTATTTCTAATGTGCGATCACTCTTACGGATGTGTGAAATATTGTAGAGTATGCAAACATGCATGCAGATCATGTTCACATGGCTCATCACATTGGGCCTGAGCCCACCATTAGGGATACAGTCTGATGCACCTTGCAAGCTCATGGAAGGTCTAACTTGATCCCCCCAAAATATACACAATTCACTCAACATTCAAGGAAAACGAAAATATCAGTAATAGACATCAACAACCAAAGTGACACAATTAACAAAAATTTCTTGCTAAATAATCCTTTTTTTTTCTTTTTAACAAACACCAGTTGTTGTATTTATTTGTATTTTTGGCTTTGTTCTTACTGCAGCTGTAGATCATTTGGACCACCTATCATTCTAATAATGAATGGCTACTAATAGCTTTCAGATATAGTGGTTTGGCATATTCTTGGGCAGTGATCGCCGCCTCAGGGTCAATCAATACTGTCAGGGATGACTGGCCTTCGTATCATTATGATCCAGTGAGAGAGAGAGAGAGAGATGTGGGTTTGATGGCATTCACATGCTTTGATCTGTAATGCTCAGCAGTTGGTGCCACTACATTTAATGAGTTACTTTTCGTGTTTGTCTTACAGGCATCTTCACGCAACGGGAAGATATGAAATTGAGCATTGGGATGCAGTTGCAAGAGGCAGTGTTCCTTTTAGGGGATTGGTGGGTGATCCTCATTTGTCTGCGCCACCTCCTTTCTGGAATGGTGATGAAGGGATTGGTGGGAACAGGTCTATGGAGAAGTGAGCCCATCCCAACCATCTTAGGTTTTCCATTTACCCAACTGTTTATTGTGTTATGTTCTGAGTTGCTTTCCTTTGAAATGCAACATTCCGTGTTCGATGCTTTTAGATCTTGCTGTTGCCCATCATGTTTTGTTGTAGCAATAGCATTTCAGTAGCATCATTAGATATTAAAAATGATGACGGCCTAGCAATAACACACTTACGAATTTGTATTGCTGATGTGCTTACAACGTGTTTGATCTTTTGACTGTATTAGTAGATGTGAAGCATCTGGTTAATTAATGAATACTTTTCCATTAAAAGAGTACCTCAACCACTCTATTTTTGTTTTTTTTTGTAGTTATTTTGAGACAGGACATCTGGACATTGCCAGTAGGCATATAGATGCAAATTCTGCTATTGTTAAAATTTGGTATGTGAATGCAAAGAAATTATTTTGGATACAATATTTGGAAAAATATTGAATTGTATGAATCGATACATGCGAATGATTGTTTGCCTTGCATAGTATACTTTTTAACACTCACTCATCTGCGGAAAGGCTAATTACACAGGAGAAGAGGGAGACAAATGTATGAACTAATAATCCTGTTCAGAGTCATATGGTCTATCCATGATTCTTGGGAAGTAGTGGTGTTACCCATAATTCCTGGCAACTCGGTCGTGGTGATTTTAGTCTGAACAATGAAATAGTTTCAGGTGATGATGGTCTAGAAAATTGCAAGAGCTTAGGTTAGCTTGTTGTTGATGTTTAGGAGGAGCAGAATTACTCCTTGCAACTGTAATGCCTCTCATAATCTTATCTGCTGTTGCGACCTCTGAAATTTGCTGCAGATTTAAAGGATTCTTATTAATGTCTGTTCATAAAAGAGAGAGAGAGAGAGAGAGAGAGAGAGAGTTGTGGAGCATTTTTTTGTCTCAAATATGATGTAAGATGCCTTTTGAAAAGCTCCAAAGGAAGAGAAGTGGGAAATCAAAAGAGTTTGTGGTAGTAATGGGTTTTTTGGTCAGTTTCGTGACCTTTTCTGCAGGTCTTTATGTAGTTTGGGGTTATGAACAGAACTTGCGGATCTAGCATTGCTAGATTATTAAATTAGTTATTTGTTTTACAAAACACAGCCATGAAGAAAAAGAGACCCATGAATATACTAGACTTGGGAGATACTTCAGTGGGCAAATGATGCCATGATTCTGAAACAAGACCTTAAAATGTTTACTTTTGTTCTTCTGTATGCTGTTTAGTGCAGAAAGGCTCCCATGAGAGTAGAGGTCATACCGGAGACTTGAAGAGGGTAGAAAAGTTTGACTCAGCATGAGTTACTCAAATATCTTATCAGATTTAAAAAAAGGTCTTCCTACTAGAAATGAATCAAAGAACTCTATATTAGGATGCCTTTCGAGGAAAGATTGCTTGGGAGAGAATTGAAATGGAACCTAAATTTCAAAAGCATCTAACATCATCATCATGATCCAAGGACTCTCTCTCATTATTTCTATGACCTCTAGGGAAGAGAGAACAAGAATTATTAGGTAGAAATTCATTAATTTCTAAACTTCATAATTATCTAGAAGACCGTCCTATTATTACTTGTGCTTCTCCTAATGTTTATTGATCATTTAAATATTTCATATTTTATGACGTCAAAAATGCACATTCTGGTAGGCAATGAAGTCAACGTTTGTTTTTGAATGAAAAAAAACTTTGTTGAAGTATTCAAAGTTTCTAGATTATTTGAATTGTATACAATTGCTTGTGGTATTGTTAAGAGCCTCATAAACTTGGCAACTGAATGAATCTGTCTGGAACTTATTTAATCTTAAGTCTTAGCAACTTTTATTGGATAAATTCTTAGGTCAATAGCTTTCCTATTGACCACCTGAATCTCAATCTCAATCTTAGTAATCCATGGAGCTAAGCAAAGCAGCAAGTCTCGAGTGACTCATCAGTCTCAATGCATTCTTAAGGCTTTGAGTTCTGATCCATGGGAAAAAGGTCTGGGTAATCTCGACTGAAAATTTTTCCTTTGATTGTGTGACTGCAATATTTTGGTGATCTATCTCATTAATTGAATTCTCTTATTTTCTGCTGCTCTCAATAACTTACAAGTGGTCAGTTGGATCTACATCTGGGCATTCCAACATGTGTCTAGCCTTTCTTTTGATCATTTGCTTGCAATGAACTACCTGACAAGTCAAAGTATTTAATTTTACCTTTCGCCATTACATTTTGGCGTGCTTTTTATTGGAATACAAAAGATGGAAGAGAAGAATATTATATTTATGATGAATTATTCTTTATTAAAAATGATAAGTCTCGCTGAATGCTGAATCCTGAATCCTAAACCCGATCTCCATCCTGACCATAAATTTCTCCAATGTCAAAGCTGCAGGAAGGGATAAAAATAAATTTTGGAATAAGTCAGCTCCAGTATATTACAGTAAATGATGTAACAAGAACTTCAGATGATGAAAGTACACAAGCCAGATTATATTCAAAATACTGTCATGCTTAGGTCATATGAAACCTGTTTTCTTGTGTAGCTGAAACTTTGTGTCTTAACAAAAAGCATGCTGTTGAGAATTTAATGTTTAGCAAAATTAGCAAGATCTTAATATTCAAGGACAACCAAACAATGTAAAAACGATGGTACTGATATACTAAACTGCAATCAATAAAGGGCTAAGAAATTATGTATATAAAATTACAAATCTCCAAGTTGAAAATTTTCTATTACCATGGCAAGGCAGCATCATACAAGTAGTCCTCTTCATTGTAGTAGCTATTCATATGTTGTTGGAAGAGGCAAGACTGCGGAGCATCCCCTTCACTATGCAACCAATATGGCAAATTAAAAACCTCATCAAACATATGAAACCCCTCGTCAGCTACTTCTTCACTCTCACATAGGTCACCCTCCATGTTTTTGAGGAACATACTCCACCATGCGGATGTCATCAAATTCATCGTGTCATTCCACTCCATGTTATGTTGTTCTCCGATCGAACGGATCTCTGCGATCTCATCATCATCCATCCTTGGATGCAATGATGCTGAGGTTGGGTCCAATGCAACCCCAGAGGCCTGACAGTATGCCTTAGAGATAAATGGTACTTTGGTGTTTGACATGATACTGGTAAGATAATTTGAACAAGACGGAGTTGGTAGTGATGATGGCTGGATGGGTGATTTCATGTCGAGGTTGTTGCAAAACAAATTGTCATTGTTGTTGAAGTTTTGAAAGTTGAGATTTAAGCCTAATGATTGGTCAGGGAAAGGGATGTTGAGGTTATCGGAGACAGACAGTGGTGTAATTGGTGGATAAATCCAAGAGAAATAAGAATAAGCAAGGGGTGACAAATTGGTGCTCTCAGCATAGTTAGGAAAGGTGTTGTTAGGTGGATACCTTCTAGAGTTGCTCCTACAATCATTCAGCTCCTGCTTTAGATCTTGTAACACTGCTGGGGATAGTTCCAGGGTTGGAGAAGGTGGTTGATTTTTCTGTTGTCGCTCATGTTGCTGCAGTTGTTCTTGCTCTTCTGCTTGTTTCATGGTAGCTCGATGAAGTCTAAGTGCAGTTACAATCTCTCTCCGAGCCTCTGCCATATTAAGTAATCTTTCTTGATAAGGCTTACTCGTATGGAGTCTTCTTCTCACTTGTTTCTTCGGTAGCAAAGGTTTCATTGGACGTGGTGATTGTTGTTGTTGAGTTTCACCAAGACTTTCGCTATCATTAGCAGAGTGTTGGGAAAATTTACCTGCACTTGCTCCATCTCTAGACTTTGATTTCATGGGATCTTTGGTTGTTGAAGACCTTAACTGCTTGACAAGACTACGGATGTAGGCACCAGAGAGTTGAGGATGTTGTAAAATGGGCTCCTCCACCACCATGATCCTGTTGCTATGCTTGGAATTGGAGTTCCTTCCCATCTCTCTCACTCTCTCCAGGATTCTTAAAATGTAAGGAGTGTGGGTCACATCTGTAGGTCTCGGCTCTGCTAAGGTGAAACTAGCGAACCATCATGGCACTTTCCTGGGTCAGAGGCGTACAGTACAGAGCAGGTTACATGTCCTGATGTATTGCTATAAATAATAGAAGTCATTCTAGGATTTCTTATACTTTTCCATGTTTGATGAGGTTAAGAATCCTTGTTTTGGTCTCTTTGGTATTGGTAGTGAGAGTGCGATCATTAGCTTTTTGAAAGTTCTTAGCAGCTGACCCACATAAGAAAATAGTGAAGTTTATATCAATTAGAACAGGTGCACTTAGTTTTTATGATTGCTTAATGTAACAACCGCTGTTTCTATGATGGCAGCCATTTTGTATTTGTACCTATACACATATAAATATGTATACAAAGATAACTATGTATACAAAGCAGAAATAAGCTAATGACTGCTATATGAAAAGCATAATGGCCATTAGTTTATTCTCATTGTCGATCAAAGCAAAAAAAGCATATATGTTTAAACTCAAATGACAGTTGTGCATGGTTCTATTTGAACTTACAGTACATGCTATCATTGTGATAGTCCTTATTATGAGTTAGTTTCCATGATTATTTTACATTGATCAGTCAGTTCATGGAGAGAAAATTTAAATGATGTCATTTTTTCTTACAACTTTCTTTGTTCTTACCAACTTTATGGGTCGCCATGCTTCATTGTGAAAAATGGGAAATTCATGGAAAATTGATATATATATATATATATATATATATATATATATATATATATATATATATATATATATATATATATATATATATATATATATTTGTCATTTTCCTTGTATAGATCAAAAAGAGGAATTCTTTCATTTTGCTGGTGATACCATAAATTGTTTGGCATATGATATGGGTGCAGTAAGTCTCTTATAAATTCATGTAGGATTCATATGTGGCATCATCTATTGAAATATATTTAGTGTCACTACAGGCGTTAACTCAATTGTGTGATGTTAGGTTACCTGATTGAGATCGACCTTGTCAACAAAACATGAAGACATAGTAGATACTAAAGGTGAGCCAAAAAGGTGGTCCCTTGTCATAAGTTTGACAACCAATGCACACTGGAATACCACAACATGTGAACCATCGAGCAAATGAATGGTTGTAATTGTTAGGCATTTAAGGCAACACTAACACACTTGAGTCTTTTGTCTCCCTTGGTATGGGTGGGTGGTCCTACATTTGCTGCTGTTGTGGTCCCAAGTGTTGGCCCCACGTGCCTCCGAATCAGTCAGAAGGTATCAGTCAGAAGGTGGCACATGGCAACATGCAAGAGGGCAAGGTGAAGGTGCTGTTTTGGCAGCTTCAAGCATAGCCTAACTCAAACCAGCCAGTCAATTCCTTTTTACCCCCCCCCATCTTAGCTTCTCATTCATTGGGTACATGCATAGCTTCTATGCCTTTGAATTCTCATTAAGCACAGGCTTCTCTTACTACTAGCCCATAAGAGTCTGGTCCCCTTGCAGACTAGGGATGGTGGTGGGGTTGAGGTTGGACCAAGCCATCATAACACACTTTGTCACCACAATCTGATGATTTTAGGCATTACTATGGTCTAATTGCTAGCTTCTAGAGGCTTTGGTAGACAAAAAAAAATACCCATCATGATCGAGGACTATTTGATCTTTCTATAGCCTGGGGTTTTGGAAAGTTGTGTTGATGGAAACAACAAAAATATATATTATAGTAGATTGAAATCCTATCAACTTTTATCCTATATAACCAAGAGCTTGATTGCTTGCGCAGATGCATGACATGATTCATGATCATTTGAAGGAGGAGATAAGGAACCAAGGAGGGTGTGAATTGAGTTTTCAGGTAGCTAGATTCTTTGGCCTCATCAAATGGTCTTTCCTTTGGTGCCGAAAGTAGAGGAGGACCACTATTTTGGTTGTTGAGGCATGTGCACAGATGATCATGGTCGTATTCTGTCACATGTGTGATAATATAATACACAGACCAAAAGAAGACAGAATTGTTCACCCTACAAATGAATCGATAGCCTCCAAAAGATAATATGTTGTTCCAAGTACCATCTAAAGGAGATTGAATGCAGAGAAACTTAGAAAAATGCAAAATCATAATGAACCATTTTTCGGATATGATATGTTGATTAGACTTGGTATGGAAGAGACAATAAAAAAATTCATGAACCAGGGGTATATTTATGGAAACTTACTAGGTTGAATATTGGTGAAATCCCATAAGACAGGTTCATAACAAAAAGAAAAGTTGACATAAGCATCTTACTTGTAACAGTCTAGATTAGCTAGAGAACCAGGTATGTTAATATAGGTGATCCGTCTGAGGTTGATGGAAATTAGTCTTTTGATTAGCAAGAGAAAGGATACATTGAAGGTCACATGCAACAACTTGACTTTGACAGAAAAGAAAACCTTGGAACAATTTGGCTAACCACGAGCTTGTGTGTTTGATATTTCTTGCTATCATGTCCATTTTCATTATCTTGAGAGTTTTTTCCACTCAATGCTTTGTGTCTCTGATTACTTTGATTCTTCTTTTTCTGTATATATTGTAGAAAAGTGAATAAGTTGTGAGACATGCAATCATTGTTCAGACACTTATCAAAAGCATTGAACTTATGCGGTTGAGTTTCCACATGAATTTTACATGTTCCTAATACCATTTAAACTTTCAGGTTTTACATGCTTCATTCACCATGGTAGCTGCAGCTGCAGTGATCAATGTGCATGTGAGTTTTTGAGACACAGGTTTAACAAGTTCTTTCATAGAAATACGATGGCAAAAGAGTACTACTCCTTGTGCAGTAAGTTTCCATGTGAAAATTATACATTCTCCTCACTGAATTAGATTAGAATGCTCCCAATTGGTAACTTAATTTCATTATCTTGGTTTGTTCCCCAAACACTTTTGTCTCTGACACATACAAAAAAGCAATCCTTAGTTTTATTGATCCCTTCAAATATTAGTCTCAGAAGACAGATGCCAAAGATTTTGTTTTTTTAATATTCTGGAAATTTGGGAAGGGAATTATGAATCCCTAAACAATGAATAATAAAAAACAAAACAGAAGGGGAAAAAATATGCAATGAATGAGAAATGATATGTACCTTCAAACCGTAAATATACAATTACTTTCACACATTCCCAATTACGGTAAATATACAATGGAATTAAAGAATTTATACTTGAAGATTTTTATATTTGCCTCTTCAAGTTTTTTAGCTTATACTCCTTGACAGGGAATGTGTTTTTTGCTTGTAATTTTTGTATCATCTAATGGTTATTGTAGATATCTGATGTTGAAAGGTTTGCCTCCACTCCAATATGTTGAGTTAAAAATCTGGCATCCACAAGTTCTCGAACGAATCTCGAAGGAGTCGATCAAGTCTCCTGCGTGCATCTCGAAGCTGGATCCAAGTCCGAATGAACATGCTATGAAGGTATTCAACTCGGCCGGGACTCCCTTCTCCGATCATGCCTGCTATTTCATTGCGTTTTTGTGCTCCTTTCTCCGGTGCTGAATTGTTGCGGCCTTTCCTTACTCCGCAGGCCTCATTTCACTGAAGCAAAAAGCAGACTCTTTCGTTGAAGGATGACGAAGACTGATCCGGTAAGTTTTCCTCGCTAAGATGTGTTTCTTGTTTGACTCGAAGTTATTGGACTCGTCTTCTCTGTTTGGAGACCATGCATGGATCTGAGCAGAGCCCATCGAGTTTCCGCACGAGTTTTCCTCGCTAAGAGGTGCGAGACCTTAATGATCATGATTGCACATCTGATACCCCCACTATTCAGGGTTGACCGACCCGGAAAACTTTAAAGGGGTGATGTGGATCTGCTGTGATTTACGCTTTCGCAGGTCTGTTGCGGTGGGGCCCGTGCATATGGGCCTTTGAGAGACCACGTAGAATGGTCTATATAAAAAATAATATATTAATAAGATAATTGTACAATACGTACAATAAATAATAATTTAGTTAAATAAATATATCTTTAGTCGGTCAAAGATTTTGAACTGAAATCCCACCCCACTGTGTAGGATTTCAGTTACTTCCAAAAGTAAGTTTTCAATGATAGTTCTATTTTTTTTTATGTGATGACTACAAGCATAATAAAAAAAAAAAAGAAGCTAAGGAAATCAGAGGTATACATCTATATATATATATGAAAAGACAACAAAAGAATGGTTGTTGTCTATATTATTTTTTTATATACATGTATATGAAAAGACAACGAAGTCTTTTACTGGGGGAAATCGAAGGTAGCAATCCAGTTATATCTAGCCGTGGATTTTGATCAAAGATGAGAATCATAAAATTAACGGCTGGAGAATGCTCACTCGCTCTATGTGGCGTCATGCCCTGTCAGTGCCGTGGTTGGAAGCGACGGATGATTCCATGTGGGACCCGTTTGTGGAACGGTTGCCATCTCTCACAACAAGGCGTTAGTTGGGTGGTCAGCTTAATCCACGACAAGCGGTAAGTTAACGTCGATTGTCCAGATGACCTGGCCGAGTGGGAGCGCCACCGACGTCTGAGGTTCTGGTCACCTCGTGTGAGAGTAAGAAGACATAATTTTGGGTGATTTGCTGCCGCTCTCGGACTTTTGGGCTGTACTTTACCTGATGCATGGGCGGTAATCGCACGGGTGAACACGTGACTCCGCGTGCCGTTTATATGCCGGTTCCGAGGCGCCTGGCGGGAATCGGAGCTTTTCTTGGAGTCTTCCACATGAGTTCTGGTATTTAGCAAGGGAAGCGATTAGGAGGCGGTGGCACTATGGTGGGTAGAAGCAGGCGTCTCCGATTTCGCCTGTGGTTGATCATCCTGAAGATTCTAGGACGGGATCGGTGAGTCATCTTCCGTTTCTTCGATGTTTTATTTCCTTTTCTTTGTTCTCTCTGAGAATTTCTTGAGATTTTCCTGTTCTTGGACGGCGATTTATCTGGTAACCCTGCTCGAGTCGATGGTTTTGTTTGGTCCTCGTGTGTCGAAGCATGAAATTTCTGAGAACCAAATCGGATTTGAGCTACTTGGTTTGAGATCGAGAATACTGTTGCATCATGATAAGCTTATGGGTTTGGAGGGTTATTTGGTTCGTATTTCTTTTGCATGTTGCCGTGTCCATCTTTCACTGTCGATGCGGTACGATTCCATCATACGGATCCCCATCGGGTATTGTCGGAACCAAGTATTTCTTCGGAGTCGATAACTCGTGCGATGATTGATCTTGGTTTAAAAAGGATCCAGGGGCGTGTTACAGGAGCCCCCCGCCATGGGCGGAGCCGAATCCTGATTAGGGGAGGCATGGAAATCCTTGATTCTTCATTTTTTTCCCCCTCTTTTTACTTGTGTTTTTCAATATATTCCATTTTGGCAGGATAGTATGCTTGATCTTGCTTTAAGCATGAAGCAAGCTATATTGCATCGGCATGAGATTTCTATTCGATATGAAAACAAAATCACGTTATTCTGTTAGTTAGGATTATTATGATGATGACTTATGGAACTTGTTTTTCTGTCACAAATATTAACTATTTTTTTATCGGTTGAATAGTTGCATTTTACTTTATTATTATTATTTTCATAATCATTTTATCTTTTATTGATTGCTTATTTTCTAAAATAAATTAGCATCACCTGTTTTTTTTTTTAACCAAAAGAAAGAAAGGAATTATATTAACCCAGAAACAGTGCCATTACAACTATAGTCTGCTCCTTGGAGCTCAAAATGGCATGGAACTCAGGATGCCAATTATCAGACCATACATGACAGCATTTGGTGGACATGGCAAACTGCGCAAGCCAATGCGCACTACCATTACCCTCTCTAAATATATGTAAAACTTTCCAATCCCTAAATAGTTTCAGCATCTCCTTCACAGTTTTAACATAATTTGCAATACACCACGGTGGTGTTTCCTCTCCATTGAGGGTTTACGCGATTGCCAGCATCTCGTTAGTCCGACTATTGCATTGCTCCACAAATATTAAAAGCTCCATCTGCGTTTAGCTTGAACCATCCAATTTCAGGTCTACACTTGACCACAATTTGATGTGCCTCCCTCCTATGTTCTTCAGTCGTTACATCTGATTTATTGTTCATTGTGTATGAAACGGCCCCATACGTCATTGTAGAGTGACATGTACTTCTGTTATTAAAACAATATCATTTTTGGCTTTCCAAATTAGCCTAAAGCATTGGGCAACTAAAGATCCAAGTAGCAAACTAGGATGCTTAGGTTCCAGATCTGCTTAAGGCAATGGACAATTAAAGATCTAAGGACCAAATTAGGATGCTTAAGTAAGTCACTTCTTTTCCCAAAATTAGAGAATTGATATCCAACTCATTGCCAAGCATGGCCCATACCCTTCTAGCAAACGGACAAAAAGACATGATTTTGACTATCGCAACTATCATTACAAACAATGTTTTTAATTTACCGGTCTGTTAGTTTAGCAAGTCCCATAGTCCCACATCGGAAAAATCAGACTTATTATCTCCTATTGGAACTATAAACAAGGGTCTGGGCTTTGAAAACTTAATTGTTTGCTTTAGGCTTTTCTTGTCTAGTAATTTTTGATGTTTTATGGCCTAGGAACATCTTTCTAATGTATTTGTAATAATCCCTCTTTTATAGTAGTGATTTGTTCCTTTTTCGTCCGAGATTTAACAAACTAGTATCAGAGCTTGGTTTCGAGATCTTTTGGCAACGATGACAATAACAAAGATCATTGTCGAGAAATTCGACAGAAATGTCAACTTCAACTTGTGACAACTTAAGAGTTTGTATATGCTTCGGATGATTGAAGGTACATCTATACTCTCACATCTTGATAAATTTGATTCCTTGGTTATGGATTTGGAGAATATAGATGCAAAAATTGATGATGAGGATAAGACCATATTACTTTTGTGTTCTTTTCCTCAATCTTTTAAGTATTTTCGTGATACTATGATTTATAGAAAAGAAATAATTTCGTATCAGGAAATTAAATCTACACTAAAATTTAAGGAGCAAATAGACAGAGATATCATTGGGGAAAGTAGAGGGAATCAGGCTGAGGGTCTGGTTGTCAAGGGTAGAATGAATAAAAGAGAATTTGACAGTAGTAGATCTAAATCTAGATCTAAATCCAGACATAGAAATTTGGAATGTAGATATTGTCATAAAATGGGGCACATTAAGGTTGATTGCTTTAAATTGAAAAATAAATTAAAGCAAAAGGAAAAAATTGTTGAGAAAACTACTGAGTCTGCTGAAGCTAGTGTAGCAGCTGATGAGAATGATGGAAATATTTTTTTTGCTACTAATGACAGGACGAGGTCTAAAAATGAATGAATTTTAGATTCGGGTTGTTCTTATCACATGTGTCCTAATATAAATTTATTTTCCACATATGAATCTTGTAATGGTGGAATTGTTTTGATGGGTAATAATGCAGCATGTGATGTTGTTGGTAGAGGAACAATCCGAATTAAAATGCATAATGATATTGTGAGGACGCTCACTAATGTTAGACATGTTCCTGATTTAAAAAATAATCTCATCTCTTTATGCACCCTAGAGGTCCTTGGGTGTAAATAATCCAGCGGTTGGTGTTCATTGTTGGTGATTACCCGTTGGAGCTTTTATGAAGAAGGTGAAGCAAGTTTTGTTGGGACATCCCAAGGTGGAGATTTGTTAGTTTGGCAAGTCCCATAGTCCCACATCGGAAAAATGTTATCTCTTATTGGAACTATAAATAAGGGTATGAGCTTTGAAGTCAGATGCACCACAAGAAAACCTAATTGTTTGCTTTAGGCTTTTCTTGTCCAGTAATAGTCCCTCTTTTATAGTAGTGATTTGCTCCTCTTTTGTCCGCGGATGTTGGTCAATTGATCGAACCACGTAAATTCGATATTCTTGTCGCTTTTATTTTTTTCGCTTTATTGTCTTTGTTGGGTTGTCAAAATTACGCTTTGATAAATTTTCTAAGCTAGCTCTAACACAGTCCACTAGCAAATTGGCATACAAATTGTTCGCTACTGGGCAGTATCAGGTTTTTGGTCCCGTATCGAACGATATGAGGTTGTATCCAGCGATAATAAAATATTTCTTGAGATTTCCTATTGTTCCTTGGTGATTGTTCGAAAAAATATTTTATTTTAAAAGTTTTTTTTGAATATTATCCTTTTTAAATTCCTTAAAAAGCTGTCATTTTTTTTCTGTTCAAATCTAAAAAAATTTCCTGTTTAAAGTATCAATCTTGATTAAGGGATCAATCTTGATTTATTTTTTTTCTTTTTCTACGTACGTTTCACGGGAAATATATATATTCAATTTTGAGATGCGTTCTTTGGACCCACTTCTAAAAGGTAAATTAAATCAAAACAAAGAATACCTTTTCATCATGAGGAGATGTAGTTATTCTGTTAATTAAGATTTTTTTTCACTCTTTTTTATTGGTTAATAAATTTGACTTTATTATTATTTTGAATATTATTATTATTTTCATATACAATTATTAGAATCAACCATGAATATTATTATTATTATGAATATTATTATTATTAAAGCATATATTTGTAAAATATGTATGTTATGCTAAATAACTTAATTCCTCAGCATAAGTTATTTAAAACTAGAATTAAGTTATTTAAAAACTCTCCTCAGCAAATTTCTGTCGTTAAAAATAACTTTTACCGCTTCAAGGATTTTCTAGTTGGAGGATCAAAAGGAAATTTGAAAGGAAGCTGGCATATGCTTGCCTGGTGACGAAAAGAAGAACGGGAAATGACTGGCCTTCAGAAGTGTCGAAGCACCCGTCAGAACAAAGAAACCTAACACGTGCAACTTCATTGGCAAAGTGTCGAAGCACCCGTCAGAAAAAGAAAAGGAATGAATTATTTGCCAGATTAGCGAGTTTGACAACATTGTTTTTTTTTCTTCGTTTACTTATTAATAAAAAAGGAGTGAATTATTCAGTTCTTTGTGCAGTCGTAGTCGTATGTGCAAATGTAAATAAGTTTATAAGAAATTGATGACTCCATTTGTGACACGGACATTTAACACTAACATCACAATTTTAGGAATTTCAGATATCAAAATCAAAGCACTCAATGCTTTTGTGTATGCATGTGTGTGACACTGTGAAACCAAAAACTTGTTAGTATCTGATGGCTTATGTGAAGTATCCCAATCGATACAAATACACACGTATGTATGAATGTATATACATATACATATAAAATCAAACTTGGATTTAGATGAATCCCCCACAATCAAAAGGATATAT